ATTTCAAACGTAATTTATAATTTAAATACAATTTAAATACAGTGGCATTTTTATACAGTAATTTAAATACAATTTAAATACAATTTATAATTTAAATACAATTTAAATAGAGTGACATTTTTATACAGTAATTATAATTTAAATACAGTAAGAATTGTTGATGCAAATTTTAGAATATTAACATTGGCCGACTCTCTCTCTCTCTCTCTCTCGAATTATCTTCGAATTTATTCTCGTCAGGTTTTTAGTATATCTCACTTTATCAGGTTATTTACGAAATTTTCGTCGGTGCAGTCGAAAATCGATTGATCTTCAGGAATAAGTTTGAATCAGATCAATGGAAATGCAAGAAGAAAATTAAGCGCACGCACAATGATCGAATAAAAGTCCCGCAGATTGAATTATCTACACATCGATGGGTTGCTCTCTGCGATGGTAGCAATAACGGAAGCACTAGTCTCCAAAACGAGTGACAGACCGATCGTATTTGTCGTTCGAAGTGGATCGTTTTGTACTTTGTTCTCATACATCGAGTACAGGCTCGTCAACAAGAAATGTTCTCCGTGTATCGAGCACCATTTGCTCGGCTCGTTCTATCCAATTACTTTCATCGAGGCTGACGACAAGACGAGAGAATCCGCATTCCGACTTGGACACTTCTGGAAGAATTCTGTTCACGATTGTGCCGTCTTTGACAAGAAATCGTCGACCGGCATTGGAAAATGAGCACATTTTCTTGGAAACCGATTAAATCTACTGTTCTTTTTTTATCAATTAATGACAGTTTTTCATCCTTTTGTTCCAAACGACGGGCGAGGGACTTTTCGTTTTATAGCGAAGAATTCCTCGGACAGAAAATTTAAACGAGTTAAACAGTTTATTTTGTCTTGTTGCCAGTAATCTCACGTTTATTAGGGACAGCGGGGCTAGCTAGATCACCAGGAGCCTTTTGTGCGTTGAGTGCCGCGATGCGTTATCTCGTGCGAGATACGGTAATAAAGGTATGAGAACACGCACGTGGCACGCATAACTCATTGCCACTGTGGATCACCTTGATGGTTCTCGAGCGTTTTCGACGCGTCAGCCAATGTGTTCAGAAAACACGGGAGGGTCCCTTTTTTTTGGAAATTTGATGGCTGGAGTTGTTCTTGTCACGATACCATAACTACTCTAGTTCGATAGTCTAGTTTACTCGTAAAAAAAACAGACGGTAATACAACACAGTTGTTTAATTATTTTATCAGTTGGTAATTGTAAATTCGATTCTCAACAAATAAAATTTTCTGCAAAACTGCAAAAGAATCAGGAATACGAAACATTGGAGCTGCATCCACGCCGATGGAACTCGTGCATACTTAATCCTTTGTGTTACAGTATCGAGTGTACATTCATAAGTAAATATTTGAAAGAAAAAGCAAATCGTAGTTCTATGTACGAGTACGAATTTAAATTTTCAATTTTGAATTTCCAAAGTAAAGATTAATACTAGAACACAAAACAGTCAAAACGACCGATTTATAATTTTCACTTGAAATTTCGATGCAGGACAATGTATCATATCATTTTAGATATTTAAATGATTTTTCGTAAAATTACAAATTATATAATATTATAAATTTATATAAATTATAAATCTTTTTTATTCTTGAACGGAAATATTATAATAACATAATATAATAAATTTGAATAAATTATATAATATCACATAAACTATAAATCTTTTTTACCCTCGGATGGAAATTTTACACTTCAATAGCCGATAGTAAGTGCAAATTATACGAGCTGCTTTCAATATTTTACATCCGATTACGTGATTTTTATTTTTATTTTATTTACTGAAGAATTGTAAGGAAAACAACGCAAGGCGAGGGATTAATGATCGTGCCACTTCAGACCATATACCCCAAATCGAATAGACCACCATCCTCTCCGCCTCTATCGGTGTTGTGTTCAAGGTATCGTGATTTCGAGCGGTCCGCGCGCCACGAGGAACGATCAAGAGGATGTTCGAGAACCTCATAGTGCCGAAGAGAGCCAGGGGGTCTATTATTGTCCGGTGGTTAATCTGTTTGTTGTATACCGGACTGCTAAGTGGTCCCCGGGTTCTACGGTGCCCTATGGTGTACATAGTGGCGAGAGCAGCGAGGGGGCCGCTGTGAACGCGACACATGTTGTTACATCACGACGCCCATTGTCGGGGCATACTGCTGCGCCGCCACGATTTCGCTTCGTCGAGAGATGAATGCCGCACAGGGAACACTAATCGCGCACCACTTGACACTCTGCCAGAGATGCAGCTCTTTTTAACCACCGTCCTTTTTCCTTTTTTTTTTCTTCTGCTTCTCTCTCTCTCTCTCTCTCTCTCCCCTCTTTTCGTGGACGCTTCATCGAACGTGTAAACATATTAGTTTACTACACGCTCGAGACTGGTGGCAGCCCGTGACACGCCGAAACGGCCTGGGGTGTCTCTGTTATTTCAACGACTCACTTTTTGGTCGCGGAGGCGCGTGTTCTCGGCGAGGTGAATGACGATGGCGAGGAGTGGTTTCGCTTTCTTGCGACCGGCGAGTTTGTGTGTTTCCATACGACAACGTGGGGAATATATCTGATTGATTTTGCGAAACTAATTTTAATAGTGTCCACGAGTAATTTCGAACGCTTCGCGAAGAGAACGTGAATATATAGATTGCCAGAATGATTTGTTGTTTCAATGCTATATCGGAAGATGATGTAAACGGGGGTGGGCACGCGTACGTGTTGTATCTGTATCTAGATGGCAACCATCCAAATAATGAATTCCGTATCACGACACACCCTTATCAGTTACCGGGCAGCGTTTGCAAAGAGCTTGCGCATTCGTCCTTAGGGGTTGGCCCTGTGCAGCCACCCCCTGACTTTACTTTTGGAATCTCGCGCATGGAATTCGCTGCTGCGAAATCCATTCCGCTGCGAAATATTTTTATTCATCCGTGAATGTGTGTGTGTGTGTGTGTGTGTATGTGTGTGCGTGCGTTAATAATCGTCATTGCGCGTGATAAGATGATTACGAATCTTTTTGTCACATTTTGCAAACTCTCGTGGTGTCAATAGCTCCATAGATTGTAATTTCGTTTCGCAACGAAAATTACAAAGTCCCTCGATGACTTATTACTGCAAACAGCACGCGTTCTATTTAATCCAAGTCGATGCGACGTTTATGGTCCCTGGAGATTTCAAGCAGCTTACGCGCTAGTAATTAGATTTCGATGTGCGTGCGTTGCACCCTAATATTTGACCTCGCGCGTAGGGAGCACTCTGCCTCTGCTCCTCGTGGAAATCTATCTGTTTTCGTGCTCTCCGACTCTGCCGCTTTTGCATTCAGATTCATCGCGGGGAAACTTTGGGATTTTTTTCGAAATTAAGCGAATCCAGAAGAAAAGTCCCGAATTCTCGAGCTTTTCGCGACTCGGAAACTCATATCTTTGTACTTTAATTTCCCCTCCCGAGGTGACTCGAGAGAATGTTTGTCACACGCCTCATCCATTTCAGTTTTTACGTACTCTTGCGCGTCCCAGGCTAGTAAAAAACACATCAAAATCTTCGCCTGTCGAATAACTTACATTCGAGAAACCCTCGGCCGAATGATCTTCTACTAAGTACCAAAGCCACCCAGTCGTTAATTTCAATAACGCTTGGCAATACTTGTCGTTCGAGCTCGAGCCTTCGAGGAACGAGAAATTCGACGAGCCTCGAGACGTCAAACAGATACGAATCTTGTCAACGCGAGTGGGGACACGGGTTGACCGCGGTCGCATTATATCGAGGATAATTTCATTTGGCGCGCGCGAGGACATCGCGGCGGCGGCGGCGTCGCTCGTTAAGCGGGAAAAATTGAAAGGCCTGTTAGCCGAGTCCTGGTAAATTGGTTCCTCTCTTAGCCGTCCTCCTGGAGACCCGCCGTCAGCCTCGTCCTTTTTCTACCCTCCCTCCCCCCTTTTTCACCCACGAGTTGTTCACGACCCGTCCGAGAGCGCAAGTCCCGCGAAGTCCTGGGATCGATTCTCGGCTCAGCAGGAGGCTCCTCCTACTATGACGGCCATCTTGCGACCGGCACCGGTCTCACTATATCACATCACACTTCACTGAGCCCAGCTTGCATACTTAGGTCAGCCATGCGATCGCCACCCCGACTTTTGTCCCTCTTTCGATACGGGTCCGATCATTCCAACTGGCTGGTGGTTATCGGCCGAGGTCTCGGGGAACTTCCCGGTTTCGTTTGGAAAATTTCGGACACTGAGTGAGTAGTATGGTTTGGACTTGATGATATCGAACGATACGTATATATATTACGATGATTTTGGAGAAGATTTTGACGAAAAGTCGCGGACGAAAGATGTTGATTCTTTTCTGAGAAAAAGAAATTCCAGAAAATTGTAATTTGTTTCGAATCGTAACATTTCCGGATACGCGGTTGAGGTGATTTCACGAAGAATGGTTTCCTGCGGCGAGAATCTTTCTTTTTTTTTTTTTTTTTGCGCAAAATGGGCGTCGAGATACGAACGATACGTTCGACTGATTACAGTTCCGTAATAAACTGCAGTAAGGATGCATTGGAAATTATTTATTACTTCTTTTCTTAATTTCCTGACAAGATACTGAAACTTAATGACGTATTATACATTCAGATATATCCTGATAAATAATCACGAGTTGTGTAAAATTCGAGGAGAAAAATATTTAAGAAAGTTTCGTACGTTTGTTTAGTAAATTTTTATTTAACTTTTGCGATGACAATCGTTTATTTTATCCTGTACCTTCGTATAGAAAATCCATCTCTTACGTTTGCAACAGACAATTTTCTCTCTTCATTAATTCTATGATTTCTAAACGAAAAGCTCTATCGTAATAATTGCCCCACAATGTCGCTAACAACTTTGCTAACAATTTAACCGCGATTGAAAAGTGAGAGAAAAAAAGAAGTGAATCTGTTTTAAGCAACGATCTGGTGTTTTTCATTTCAGGTGCTCAAGTACTGCGACCATCTGCACGGGAAATGGTACTTCTCAGAGGTGCGCGCGATATTCTCGCGCCGATATCTGCTTCAGAACGTCGCCATCGAGATCTTCCTGGCCAGTCGAAGTAAGTCGTGCCCGATTCTGTCTCGTGTGTTCGTTTCTAAAGGAGGCGGCGGCGGGCCTCTTTCTCGAAAGGGGCAAGCATTCCGTTTCTTGCTCGATCGCCGCGTTATTTCACACGGCGTGATCTAATCCGGCAAAACGGAAACGGAATTCGGAGCTCGCCGCGAGGTGTGCTCGCCACGTTTGCTTTTTACGCAATAAATATCTTGGCCGGCGTTGCGCGCGTATCTGTTTTTTCTTCTCGTCGCCGATTTATCAACCAATTTCAAGCTCTGCTCCGCCGTCCTTGTTTCTCTTTGCAAATAAATATACGTGCAATTACCCGCGTTTTAATTAGCTCAGCTTTCGGTCTCTTTTTCTCTCTCGAGCGATCCTGAATTCTAAAATTCTCTCGTTATCGTGAATGATCTTGAATGAATTTCTTAAGCTATAAGACTGCTCGAGGCTGCGGCGTACTCTTGCAAGTATGATCATCGCAGCTTTAAATCAAACGTGCTCTCGATCGTAACCTTCAGATTTATTTCTGTTTTAAATCTAAAGGCAATTTTTTCAAAATTCGTTTACCAATTATCATACCTGAGGGTTTTGAAAGTTAGAAAATCGGAGATTTTGCAACGCCAAAACAGGCATATTTAACTTATTGTTAGTGTAACCTAACGTAATCTAAACCTAAGACTAGACTTAATTAACTTTTCTAGCGTCAAACAGTGATCTACCGTTGTGGATGAGTCAATACACTATGCATCGTAGAATAATTATTTACTTGTCTTTGAAATATTTTTTTAACAACTCCTTTTTATCAATCTTGCAGTTTTCACTTGACAAACAAAACTTTTATAATCCAATTTTAATTCCAATTTTTGAAAAACTGCATCAATTTGACTCGACTTGGTTTTGTTGTTCGGGACTTTTTCTTGGGCACTGAAGGAGATTTTTATTAAAATTCTACATGATTGAGTAAACACTATTTTTCCCACTCAACGATCAAATCCACATTTTCTCTCATACTCTTAACATTATATTATTTTACAATTATTGTACATAGTACATAGTGACTGCAGGTCATTTGTGTACCTGATCATAAGACTTGCACTGGATTTTAGCATTCCTACAATTAGTATTATATAACTACGTATTAATATTTTCCTAATCGTCGATATTCTTATTTTCTACATTTCACACAGAGTAATATTTCTTCAATTTTCCTCTAAAACATTTTCTTCCATTCCCTCATTAACCTTCTAAGTACTGACGTTCGATATATCGACACCTATGTAATATCTGAGAAAGCTGAATGCCCGATATATCGACGGATAACTCTCTCTTCTTGTTTTGAGTAGCTCGAGTCTTTATTTGATTTGATTAACTATGAAAATATGGGAACAACAATAATTTATACGAAAACATGTAAAAATCAACTTCGCCTGGCGATTTAAATCCGTCCACTAGCGAACGGGGATTTAAATACCCCTTCTTTTCTCCCAAAAAGAAACTTTTCATTTCATACCTTCTCTTTAAAGAATATATACAGTCGCGTCGGTATTTATGTTGACGTTCTTACATGACTTAAAAATCTTTTGTTTTCTATCTACATTAAGTGTGGTTAATGCCTGCAAACAGCTGAAGCATTAGCATTATAAAAAAACAAAGTTACTGTACATTTAAACATTTTTTGTCAAATATAGACCTGACGGAAGTTGACGCAATAAAACTTTTATTTTACGAATGAAATATCATCATCTTTTAATTATTTTTTAATTTCATTGGTAGACTAATGATTTGTTTGTTATTTTCACACATTTTTTTCTTGGCGATAAGTACCTTTTATTTATAGTATGCCGAAAACTAGAGAGCTACAAGTATCCGACAGGTTACACATTTACAAGGGAAGAATGGAAGGAAAAAGTTCGCAACAAATTGCACGTGAGTTTTGAATATCAAAAGAAGGTGTTAGGAAGATATACCAGAAATTAAAAAAGAGGTTAAACCTAAAAATTCGGTGAAATCGGGTAGAAAAAGGAAAACAACTAATCACTAAAGAAGTAAAAAAAAATCCGTTCATTACTGCACAACAAATCAATGAAAATCTTTGTCTACCAATATCGATCACGCAAATCAAATCTCGCATTAATGGAAACAATATTTATGGACGGATATCTAGAAATAGATCATACATTTCAAAAGTGAATGCACCGAAACGTCTAAATTTTTGCTAAAGAACATTACAGTAATGTCGATTTCATTTCGGAAAATCGATAATTTGGAGCGATGAACCAAAATTTGAATTGAATTCAAACAAAAGGAAAAGCTTTCAAACAGACACTAATAACACGGTGGTGGGAATATAATGATAGTGGGGTTTCAATGACACCCAAGTAGGAAATTTAAGTATTATTGATGGAAGACTGACTGCTGCCAAATATATTGAGTTATTAAATGAAAATTTATTCCAATTGATTGAAAAATTTGGAGCTGACAGGGCCTACGTGTTTCAACATGATAAACACACAGCAAAAATAGTTAACAAATTTTTCGAAGAAAATGGTACTTCCGTGCCACCTCTCGGATTTAAATCCTATGGAGCATCTATGGGATGAACTTGAACGATAAATTCCAAAAAATCAAAGATATACAAAATCGAAATTCATTACAACCATGAAAAGCAAGTGAAATTATAGCAGATACACTGGAAAAATTAATAAATAGTATGCCTCATCGCTTACTAGAGGTTATTAAAGCCAGGGATTATCAAACCTCTTATTAATTAATTTAAAATTTATTATATTTTATATTGCATCCCATAGAAATATTTATCGTCAACTTAATTTCCGTTAAGATGAAATACAAAAATTCATTTTTTATTTTTACTTTGTTTTATTTACTGTTTATGTTCATTCATTGTGTATCGTCTCAATGGAATAAATGATTTTGTCCTTAATTCAAATATCATTTTCAAATATCATTTTTCAGCCTAAATTTCTCGAAAAGTGTAAGCGTCAACTTAAATACCGACGCGACTGTATATATAAAAGAAAGAGATATTTCTCTCAGGAAAGAGGAGACGCAGAGGGATGCTTCGTTATCTCGATTTCATAGCGAGGTGTTAAAACATTCTTGGAGGAACATCGGGATACGTGTGGCGTTTCGCTTGAAATATAGTTGTCGTTCCCTCGTACGTCGCGCCGGTTCGTCGGTGGTGCGCGCATTTCGAACAAACGCGCCGTATTACCCGGTATACCTGGGCCCGCAATCCCGCTGATTATTTCTCTTCTGGCCGTAGATAAATTTCGGACGTTCCCCGATTCTAATCTCACGTCCCCCTGGACTTTCGATGAGCCGGCGGAATGTCATCCGCGCGTGTTCCTCGTTCGTTAAAAAAATTAGTAGAAACGGTCGGGCGCACGTTCGGCGGTCTCGTTAACGAACGACTGGATCATATATTTATTGCCTCGCGATAGATCTTCGAACGATTAACAAAACAGCCTCGGAGCCAGTTAAACTCGTGACGTTGATTGTTTTGTGGATATTTGAGAGAAGTAAAATTCTCGGAAATCTTGCCCTTAACCCTTTCAGTTGTAGCGTCGAGTTGACACATTCAGAAATTGTGAATGGTTGTCAATGGGAAGAGAAAGAAAATAATCCTGTGTGATGTGAATTTGAATTGTTGTTTTCTATTCTTCGAACTGAAGATTAATAAGTACAAATTATATATATTATTATTAATAATATATATATATATATATATATATAGATAGATAGATATAGTGCTCAATATTTTACATACGATGTTAATACGGCGTGATAATTAATATTTACTGATGACTGAGAAGAAAATCGCGAGGCAAAGAATTAAACGGAAAGTTTTGTGAGTGAATTAAATAAAATACACACTCTTAATTAATATGTTTAATATATATATAAATTAAATAATCTATATAATAACTTCACTTATGAATCTATTAAATATAAATTCTATTTATATATATATATCTATTTAATTATAAATTAAATAATCTATATAATAACTTCACTTATGAATCTATATAATAACATCACTTATGAATTCACTTTCTCACAGATCAATATTACTTTTCAACTCAGACTCGCAATACTTCTCTGCTCGTTTCTGAACAAAAACGCATCACACAACACACTCGCAATTGTCTCACAACACTCATGCCTTCGCTCGACTCTCATGCATCCTCACACATACATTAATATAAAACCAAATCCACAAGTTTGTAGTTTATAGTTTGTAGTCTTCGAGTGCTTGTTTCTCGTATGCAAATGCAAAAGTTTGACGATGATGGTTGGTCAATTTTCTCGAGTCACGGTAGCTTGAAGATGATGGCATGAAATATGTATGTCGTTCTGTGTATCTCGTTCGAACAAATCGTGAGAGAAAAATATCTGGCTGTTTAGAAATTAATCATTCAATTGACAGATCGTTTTTTCAACACGAATGACCGAAGAACGGAGTACCATTAATCAATCCTCAACGCGTCCGAGTGCATAATTATTTTGCTTCATTCAATATCTTCTCTGATAAGAAACGTAAGACGCGGCATTCATCCGCCGATGCTCAAATACATTAATACTGACTCGCGAGAATAACTTAAGAAGTTAAGGTCCCGAGCGAGGTTTGCTATTCACGCGCAGCGAAGAAACCAGGTCAGGAAAATTCTTTGATTCTCTGCGGCGTCGTGCCCTTTACTATCCTTCGTTGTTGATTAAGACCGACTCGCACGCTCCGGGCCAGCATTCGAAGCTACATAAATTACCGGCAAGTATTTATGGTAACTGTCTCTTTGCACGCTACCCTTTTTGAACTCGCGAGGGAGCTTCAGCGACGCTATTAAAGCCGTGAAATTAAGTCCATCGCGCACCCCCTTTTCATATTTCCACCTAACTACGTTCTAAATACGTTTGCCACGCGTGTCCAACACCACGCGAGCTTACATTCGGATGAATCATTTCCCCTGATTTAGAAATATGTAACTCAACGTCTCGTCTGGTAATTTATAGTATCAAAGCGATGAAACGGCGGTTTTCTTTTCCCGGCAAGAAGCAAGAAACTTCAATTTAATGCCGATTTTTGTTATTCATAGCTGTGAGTTTTTATTCGTGCTTCCTGCGGACGTTGGTTTTCAAAACATAGATCGCTCGAGAATTGTTTGTGATCGAATTTAACGAATTATAATAATTACAACTTTAGTCTACAGCTAGTACTTCTGCCCGGATACTCGGTAGATATAATTTTACCCGATATTAATTTATACTTAACAATGCAACGATTAATTATTTCGTGTACAAGCAGGCCAACATTTTTAACAATTGTAACTATTGCCAGCGAATAAGAGCGAATCAGAGTTAGGAACATATTTGCACAAGACACTGTAGTAAATCGTAATTTATGTTTGATTAGAATGGTGGAGAAAAGAATATCCATGATTGGCGAAACTAAAGAAAGTATTTATCTATAACCGTGAAAAAGTATAAGTATATTTTCAAAGCTAGTTCAAGACGGTCGAGACTAATGTGGATTTATTAGTATTTCTGTACGAAGATAGAAACATGATGAAAATTATTTTGAAACAGTTACTTCATTGTTTCGTTATCTATGAAAATAAATTAAAATTATATTATTATAAATTACATAGTAGATATCCAATGTATAATAATATGAAAGAAAACAATAGGCACGTAGTAGCTAATAGCTTTATTATCCATGCATTTTTTAAAAATTGTTCTATTATTCACTTGTGAAACATAAATTACATTACAATCGTTCGAATAATATAAGTAGAAATAATAAACACATAGTCTCAACTATCTCGTGTGACCGGGTATCTCATAAGTAATAGCTCTACTATCTACTATCCAATTTTTTCGAAAATTGTTTGATTATTTATTGGTCTAAACATAATGTCTGTTACACTATAGAGTAATACGAGCAAAAGCAATAGATACATAATATCTCAACTATACTGTTCACAAAAATTAGGGGATATATCAAAATAGAAACATTTAACTTTTATTTTTATTAAACAAGAACATCAGACACGTAGTAATAGCTTTACTAGCCATGCATTTTTTAAAAATTGTTCTATTATTCACTTGTGAAATATAAATTACATTACAATCGTTCGAATAATATAAGTAGAAATAATAAACACATAGTCTCAACTATCTCGTGTGACCGGGTATCTCATAAGTAATAGCTCTACTATCTACTATCCAATTTTTTCGAAAATTGTTTGATTATTTATTGGTCTAAACATAATGTCTGTTACACTATAGAGTAATACGAGCAAAAGCAATAGATACATAATATCTCAACTATACTGTTCACAAAAATTAGGGGATATTTCAAAATAGAAACATTTAACTTTTATTTTTATTAAACAAGAACATCAGACACGTAGTAATAGCTTTACTAGCCATGCATTTTTTAAAAATTGTTCTATTATTCACTTGTGAAACATAAATTACATTACAATCGTCCGAATAATATGAGTAGAAATAATAAACACATAGTCTCAACCATCTCGTGTGACCTGGTATCTTATAAGTAACAGCTTTACTATCTACTATCTAATTTTTTCGAAAATTGTTTGATTATTTATTGGTCTAAACATAATGTCTGTTACACTATAGAGTAATATGAGCAAAAGCAATAGATTCGTAGTATCTCAACTATACTACTGACAAAAATTAGGGGATATTTCAAAATAGAAAAAAGAAACATTTGACTTTTATTTTTATTAAACAAGAACATCAGAAAGTATTATGTCGTTTGCTTCTCAGATGTTCTTGTTTAATGAGAAAAAAAAATCAAACCGTTTCTTTTCTTTTGTCGCTTCATATTCATTTTAAAATATCCCCTAACTTTTTTTCTGAACAGTATATCTCATAACTAACAGCTCTATCGTGGTGTTTTTCAAAAATTATTTCTCGCCTGAAGCCGAGCTAAACGTCACTCTAGCCTGATTCGTGGAATCGCCAATCAGGCGGCAACAGGCTAGAGACAATACCGTATAAAGTAGAATCCTAATAGAAGAACGGACCGCCAAGGCAATGCGAGTAAGAAACGCGCCCTTGCCCGAACGATTGACACACGGCCCGTCAACTGGATTGCGTTCGCTTATAATCCGCACTTTAACGCCTTTTTGCCCACAGCCTCGATCCTGTTCGCGTTCCCGGACCAGGCGACGGTGAAAAAGGTGATCAAGGCGCTACCGCGAGTCGGCGTGGGCATCAAATACGGGATACCGCAGACTAGGTAAGGAACCCAAGCGAACCCCCTTTTCGCCGACATCTGGATCCTCGAAGGGCCTCGAGAGAAACCACTCGCTCGTGTCTCGCATTCCTCTTCTCCTTTCTTTGTCTCCATCCGTGGGATTCCGCTAGCGATCTCCTCCGGATCTTCAGCCGTTTTTTCTGTTCCTGAACCGAACGTTGAGACGAATCGGAACGATTACAGAGTTCGATCCCATGCTGCACGGGATATTGAGAAATCCTTCGTACGGACGTCCTAATCGACGTGTCGCGCTGGTTCAATGAATTCTATTGTTTCAGAATGCGACTGTGGAAATGGTTTTTATCGTGAAGATTTGTAGTTCTAGCGGATACGATCGATTTAGCGGATGTAGAAATTAAACGTATATATATATATATATGTTTTTAGGTAAAGGAAAATCATTTTTCTTCACTCTTGAGGCTACATTTAGAGAAAATAGAATTTAAAAGATTCATTCTTTATGTCTATAGCTTGTCTAACTAGTGATAGAAGTTACATTTGGGCACGTAGATTCGGTTCAATTAATCAGACGTGAACCAAGGTTTTTTTGGAAAATTTCAACATGAAATATAATAACATTTCAAGATTCAAATTCAGATAATTTAATTCAATTTCATAATTTTATTATATTGTTTATAATTATAATTATTTCATTAACATTATATTTTATTTTAGATTTGATAATAAATAAATTTTTAAATTTATCTTTATTAAAAAATCATACAATTGAAATTATCTGAGCTTTAATACCAATTAATCATTTTATTAATAATTTGTTATCCATCGCTAAAAATTTACGTTTGGCCAAGTAGATTCGGTTCAATTAATCAGACGTGAACCAAGGCTTTTCTTCACTCTTGAGGCTTCGTTTAGAGAAAATAGAATTTAAAAGATTCATCGATTCTTTATGTCCATAGCTTGTCTAAGTGATAGAAGTTACGTTTGAACAAGTAGATTCGGTTCAACTAATCAGACATGAACGAAGACTATTGCAATAAATGAAATTCTGTATTGTAATGGCCATCGTAGACAATTTCTCTTGAAACTGAGAAACGAGAAACGCAGATCGGTTCATCAAAAATCCTCGTCGCGAGCATGTCCTGAGAGAAGGATCCTTTCTCGATACCAATACCTGTGCAGCTTGGACAAGCGGCGAGAACAGAGGTTCGCGTATCCGCGCTTCGATCCATCCATTAAAGTTCTCTTCTCGAGAGACAGAGGCAATGAGAAAGAAGGAGAAGGACACGCCGACCATAAATATACAGAGACCGAGCCGGACGTCTGATCCGAGAGAGATTCCTGGTAATAAAAATAATAAGACGTGTATCCGCGTCGTGACGCTCTGTACCACGCTCGCGTCGCAGAGAAAAAAATATCTGCCTTCGATACGAGGAGGAGCACAATTGTACTCAATGACAATGAATAATTGTCGAAAATTTAAAATGATATAACTTTGTATGAAAAAAAAAGAGATTTAACGATTTTAAAGCGCGAAGGTTCTATTTCAAAATTCGCGAGCTCGTTCTTTTTGAAGATTATTTTACATCAAGCAGCTCTTTCTCTCGAAAGTTGTCAAAATTCAGACCAAACGCGAATTCTTTCATAGATTAATTATAGCCTCGAAGTGGCAACAGTCTTGAAATTTCTTCTTTAGAATGAGCTCTTAAAATTCGCTGTGCCAGTCTCTGTTTTTTTTCAATTATTTTATTGAACTTGGAACAGGGTTGAAATGTGAGGATTTTCTTGAATTTTTGTCGTTTAATCAGTAAAAAAATACTGAAAAAGGATCATAGAGGAGAGTTCAATCATCGAAGCGATGACAGATCTAGTAAATTCTTAAAAAAGAATTTCAATTTTGAAACCCACGAATTGGAATTTTTATAATTTTCGAGGAAAAACTCACTTTTCCACCCGCTATATGATGTAAAGTCAATTTAAAGAAATTTAAAGAAAAAAAAGTAAACGAACTAACGACTGTCAAAATAAAAGTTTTGTGCTTTAAAATAAGATCAGTTTAAATTATCGACAATTATTTAATGTCATTGATATTGTACAATTATATTTTTCACTGTATATGGTCCTCAATCAGGGTTGATGGAGGAATATTTTTTGATGAAATTTTTGAATCAAACTTTGAACCAGAAATGATTTTTTGATACTTTTGTGGCAACATCCACAACCAATGAAAAACAAATGAATTCCATTTGAATCAATTTCAGACTAAAAATCGTTCACCGTTGCACTTTCCTTTAGGATTCAATGAAATTTCTAAAACGAACTAACCATCATTTATTTTATTTCTCTTTCGTTGCCTTTCACAGAAACTCTATATTGCGCGGAAAATCTCCATAGTTTCGCAAGATTTGTTGGTAATAAACGAAACGATAGAATTTATACATCCGGTTGTGGTCGGATGCTTCTCTCTTTTAATGTCACCCACCGTGTATCGTCCATTAAAGTCTCTCGCGTAAATCTTAAATTCAGTGAATCCTCGCGTTCGTAAAACGCGTTTGCTGAATTTTATTTTACATCGTTTTATTTTATATATATCGTCAGTAGATAATTGCCTCGTGAAAGTCTGTCGTCGTGCAATTATCTTTAGTAATTTTTAATTCGCTCGTATGGTTTTTCACATTTTATGCTTTCCCTATTATGGTTTACGACGATCTAAAGTTTCGGTAATGCTGATTTAAGCTTCCAAATAAATTAAGAGGTATTTTTGTAATTTTTTTTAGATACTTTAAGCAATAAAAGAATAAAGTGAAAATTTAAATTACACGATAGTTAAAAGTAGCAACCAGTTCAGAAACATTTGCTAATTGTCAAATCAATCTCGTGTGACAACCGGCGCGTAAATGTTCGTGGATGACTTTTCACAGACGCGAACAGCGGACTTTTTAGTCGGCAGCAACTTCGATGAAACGATGATTAGATAAACTTGGTTGGACATATATTAATTTGTCTGTCGTAACGTATTCACATCACGAACCGGCTTTGAAATTACGAGTAAGTTGCAACCACTTGCATGATTAGAAGATGATTCTGTGCCTCGTCTCTCACAGTTCGAGATTATCACGGCCTAGTTGCCCTAATGTGAAGTACGTTTATTTCCAGGCACGTGTTTTACCAACTTGCAGTGGTTTTATATAAACTAGATATTACCATGTAGGTTTTGTAGGAAATTTTATGCTCATTCGACTGATAAGGTACAAAATATAATCAATCACGTTTAAGATATAATTTATAAGTTGTAAATTCCATATTGAGTCTCCCAAACGTTCCAAGGAACATCTGGCGCGTGTTTTCAGAAATATCGTATCAACCAGACAGAAATTAATAATTTCCACGATTACATAAACTTAGGATAATCGCGTAAAAATGTGTAGATTTTTTTAAAATAATCGATTGCAAACAGGTACTGTTTTACAGCATTATTAAGATTCTTTAAGTTATACTAAACGTACCGATATTTTATATTCATTCCTACCATAACCATACTTAATCCTCAAATAACCGGTTGTGAAATAAAGATCTTTTTACGAAATATCGGTTATTATCAATTTAATATAGAAAACGATACACAAAATAACTTTTAGATTATAAGAAAAAAATTATTTTCATGATTTCTAACGAGAATTAAATGATCGTTTGATTAGACATTGGTACATTTAGTGTTAGTAACAAGGTACTCCATATTTGATACATATTTTATATTAAGGCAATCTTATATTGTTAATAATATTACGTGCAAATTTCGACATTTTGATTGACGAGTTTTCTAACAGGCCTTACGTGATTGGAATTCGCGCTGTTTTTTGCAGGAGAGCATCAATGATGTCGCCTCGACAGCTAATGAGGAGCTCCAATATGACACAAAAGTGGCAGCGAAGAGAAATATCCAACTTCGAGTACCTCATGTTCTTGAATACCATCGCTGGTGAGTAGAAACTCACTGAAAATTTTCTTCTTCAGCCTCTGTTCGCTCAAACAAATTAATACAAAGAAGAAGTAACCATAATTAAAATTTCCAGTGAAACGCAACTTTCGACAAAAATTTTGATGTCTCAAAGCGTTAATATAATGTACATTAGAGTAGAAACTCGCTGAAAATTTTCTTCTTCAGCCTCTGTTCGCTCAAACAAATTAATACAAAGAAGAAGTAACTATAATTAAAATTTCCAGTGAAACACAAGTTTTGATAAATAAAAAAAATTTTGATGTCTCAGAGCGTTAATATAATGTACATTAGAGTAGAAACTCGCTGAAAATTTTCTTCTTCAGCCTCTGTTCGCTCAAACAAATTAATACAAAGAAGAAGTAACCATAATTAAAATTTCCAGTGAAACGCAAGTTTTGATAAATAAAAAAAATTTTGATATCTCAGAACGTTAATACGATGGATTAGCCATGTATTTATAAACAAAACTTAAATACCAAAATCACATTAATAACTAAAACTAGTTAATACCAAATATCTAATAATTAAATACCAAAATTAATAAATATACATTTTTTGAGGTTGGATCTACCTCTCTTGCACCTGATGATCTTTCCCTCAATTATCACATTTTCTAGAAACATAGAATTCGATCATGAAAAAAAAACAAAAATAAAACCATGAAATATCTGTCTTCTCATTCTGTTTAATTTCACGTCAAGAAACTCTCTGAAAATTTTCTTCTTCAGCCTCTTTTCGCTCAAACAAATTAATATAAAGAAGAAGTAACCATAATTAGAATTTCGAGTGAAACGTTTTTTGATAAATAAAAAAAAATCTTGATATCTCACGTTAATACAATGGATTAGCCATGTATTTACAAATAAAGCCTAAATACCAAAATTACAATAATAACTAAAACTAGTTAATACCAAATACCTATAATAATTAAATACCAAAATTAATAAATATACATTTCTTGAGTTGGATCTATCTTTCTTGCACCTGATGGTTTCTTCCTCAATTATTACATTTTCGATATAGAATTCGATCATGGAAAATAAAATGAAAATAAAACCATAAAGTATTTGTCTTCTCATTCTGTTTAATTGCACGTTAAAAAACTCTCGTGTTGGCAAAACTCTCTACATACTGCAACCACGAAAACCCAATACAGTAACCATGATAAAAGGGGGCTGTTCAACGGCTAAAAAAAATCATATCGGCTTACGGAGGGAAACCGGAAAGAAAATGCGAGGTCTGCGGATGGCCGATGGTTGTTCGATTCCATCGCTACGGTTGGCAAGCGGGATAGAAGGAGAGAGGTCGCGGTAGAACACGGATTGAAAGAGGGAGGAGAGAGCCTATAGCCGCACACGGCCGGATGGAATCTGTCGCGGCGTATTAGGGATGTTCTCAATCAGCTCCGTGTTCCGTTAACCACCCCATACGAGTAATCCCCGGCTCGTGGGCCCCGATAATCCTCTCCCGAGGGAACCGGCTCGCCGTTCTCCGCTTCCCCAACGCGAGATGGAAAGCCGCGCCTTTGTTTCTCCGTCGGTTTAATATCGGCTGCCCCTTTTGTGCGCGCTCGCGTCGCGTCGCGAGCTAAATCACGAAACTCGAGACGTTCGCCCTCCCCCTCTTCCCCCTTATCGTTTTTTTTTTTTTCTACGGGAACATGCAGGGTGGTTTCGTCGAACACGTTTGTACGGCACATGATGTTTCAGGGAGGAAAAAATTGTCGTAAAGTTATAATTGTAATTATTAACGGGGTTCAAAGGATTGTTGGGGAGGCAGAACAGTTTGACGAAAAATTACGAATAATTCGGAGGGCTAGTAAAAAAAAAAGTACATGTTTGATTGACGTGAGCTTTTGTGGTTTATTTTGACACATTATTAAGTATAAAGAGCAACATTAAAAAAGAAAAAAAGAGGGCTCTTTTTAACGGCATTCTTTTACATACCTTTTTGTTTTTAAAGTAAACAATATTCTCCAGGGATTGACGATACGACATTTTGATTTCTGTGAAAATTATGAAAATAGCAGCTATTTGTTTTTGATGTAGCGAATTTAAAAAAATTTCTATAAATTTTGGTTTATATTTTTCGAAAAATGTTAAAAATTAAAAACTGTTCGATCGTTAATCTCTAGTAAATGTATCACTAAAGATACCAAATTTCATAGTAATCGGATGATTATATTCCGAGATATCTTTCACACCGTTTCTAAAAACCGAGTTTCGAGAAAAGCGCGTGTTAAAAGTTTCAGAACGTCATCCTCTATTTATATATCGCGGCACACAGTTCTTACAATTCACAACTAAATTGAATCCAAGTCCCCTGATATTCGATTCACCAAAAGTAACATTTGAATCGCACGATTACACTTTATAATACTGCTTAAAGTTGTAAACAGCGGATTTATAATTATACAATAAGTCGTTTTAAAGGCTTTTGTATTTTATTTCTAAGACTTCAAACTACCATTTAAAACAAAACAAACAAAAAATCGATTTCTTTGAAAATTTCAAACTGTTCTGGCCCCTTAAAGAAATATATTGAAAAATTAGAAGGTGAAACGCGCTGAAAACTTCACTGAATCGTGAAGAAACCGATGGCGGACATAGTCGGGGATTATGTAAAACGTAGAATTTTTCGGGGCTGCTCACGCGCCTAATCGACGAGAATCATCGGGGACGCGTAATTATTTGTACATCGGGAAGAAACGCCGGAGGGTGTCTGTGTATTTACGAGAATTATATATTAATTGTGCGAATAAATAGTCGGCCGACGGGGCGCTGCAGGGATGAAAAGGAACGCGCGAGCGCGAACGCCATCGCGATGGCAACGGAATTGGGCAAGCAAAGCCCGGCGGGAGAACACGTTGCGAAAACGAACCGGTCCTGCGGACCAGGCTCCCGCATCCGATCCTCTCCTCTTCTTTATTTGCTCTTGGTCGCATCGGTTTATTAAAAATTAATGACAGTAGGGCCGATGTAAATATGATAGGCTGCGTGTCCCGATGCGAGCCGGTTCGCGCGTGGGTGTACGCACACACCGCCGGCTACGCCGCCACCTGTACATCTCGGCCTTCTTTTCCATGATATTTGCCGGCCAGACTTTCTCTAATTAATTGTTCGCTTCAGGAGTATCTTTCTTTTTTTTTTAACTTCTTTTCGATCGTGCGTGTGTCTGGAAGGGAGGGATAAGAGCTAATAAGAGCGTTGGATAACGTGGTCGCGAGGTTTGTGTAATAACAATAAAAGATTGTCGATAATTGACACTGATATAATTTTGTGAAAAAGATTCTGTAACGACCCATTTGCTCTCGTGAAAGTTTCTACTTTAACAGTCGTGAATTCGTGTTTTTTTTTTTTTTTTTTTTTTGGAAATGATTTTACATCGTGTAAGAAAGTGAGAAAGCAAAGATACTTTTTTCTTGAGGATTCAAAAAATTCTTCACTCGTGTAAAAATTTTATTTTTCACTACTAAATCTAGCAAGGTCTTAAAGATGGAACCTTTTTTTTTTTATTAGAAGCCCTTAAAATTCGCTCTACGATGTTTTTTTTTTTTATTGAACTTGGAGCATTAGGATTAGATTCTGAAATGAAAAATTTCTTGAATATTCAACGTTCAGTGAAATAACGAAAAAAAATTGGATAGAAACAAATTTTGGGGGACTTCAGTCTTCAAAATGGTAAATTTAGCTACTAAAAAGAAACTTTTTTAGTGATCATCTCGAAAACGAACTTGCGACTGTCAAAGTAGAGGCATTACGTTTTAAAACAATGAAACAAACGAGTCGCTATATATATGATTTTCTTTTAACAAAATTGTACAAGTTCAAATCATCGACAATTTTTCGTCCTTGGTACAGTTATGCTCTTCGTTGTAGATGAAGATTTGGTAAATTCTGAATAATGTACAGTTATGCATAAAGATACGTAAAAATAATACAATACAAATTTCTAGAATAGATCGTGCTGCATCATCTGCATTTATAAAATACCTTTTCGCGTTGCTCGACTCCATACTCGCTAGATTCGCGATGGAACAATGAACACTTACCGATTGTATCGTTCTGCATTGGAAGAATTGCAAGTAAGGAGCGTTCACGGTGGAACGCTTATATAGGGTTTCAAGTTTCCCCGTGGATTGTACTTGCTGTGCGTTTATGTCACGCTGCTTCGCGATACCTATCTCGTTTTAATCTATTCTTCAGCAAGAAACTATCTCTTTGAATGACGACAGTTTCCAGCGATCTTGTATCTCATATCTATTACCATCAGGCTACACAGTTACACACTCGGAAAATCAAACGAATATAATTTAAGTGTAGAAATCAACAAGATATAAATCCTTGCTACAGAATGGTTCAGTACGAGCTTCTAAACGAGATTGTCTCAAACATCTTTCTGAATCTCTAAGAGAGAATCTTGGTCAATAATTAATTGATAATTGCATGTTTGAATATTTTCCGACAAAGTGGTTATTCTTCGACGAAGTAAGACACGAGGCGAGCCAGCCGCGCAGGGGTCAGGAACCATTTCGCAGGACTTCCTGCCAATTTTTCTCCGTAGGCCGGTGTCCCTTTAAATCTCGGCGAGTGGCGAGTTAAAAACGAGCCTCTCGTCGCTGCTAGCACTTATTATAACGTTGTTCCATCCGCGAGGGACGACGATGGCGGAGGTGGAGTTAGGTAAAAAAGCAAAGGGCGAGGCGAGAGAGGGCGCGCGTGTCGCCGAGCATTCCGGTGTCGGGAAGCGTTCTCAGAGCGCTCACTCACCTCGACGCTACCATTAATAATCACTTTGATGCATAACGCGGCCTTACTATTATTTACGTCCGACCGACGGTCGTGCAGCGTCACGATTTACGACGCATTGTGGCTAAGGCTTGTGCACACCAACTATCGCCGCCAAGTCTCCCTCCCTCTCTCCTGTTTGCTTTTGTTTCTCAGACCGAATCGAGTGCTTGATGGAGTTCTTAGAGACGAATCCCCCGAGACTTCGCGGGATTATTTCTGTATCTGTAGACGATGGTGTATACTCATTGCTCTCTTTTTTTTTTATCAATATGCTAGAGTCTCTTCTTTATCAAAAAATTCGGTAGAAGCAGTGAACGACTATTATAAAAATTTGTACAGTCTCTACAGTATCGAATCATCCCTTATATCTTCTGTTCCATCGTTGAACGCTGTACAGTTCACTTCAACATAAATACACCAACTTTGCTAATATTTTCAATGTAAAAAATTAAGAAACTCAAAGGAAATTAAGAAATTTGAAAGAAATTAAGACAAAAAGAAAATTAAAAAGTTTAAAGGAAATTAAGACAAAAAGGAAATTAAGAAATTTAAAAGAAATTAAGACAAAAAGAAAATTAAAAAATTTAAAAGAAATTAAGACAAAAAAGAAATTAAGAAATTTAAAAGGAATTAAGACAAAAAGAAAATTAAGAAATTTGAGGGAAATTAAGACAAAAAAGAAATTAAGAAATTTAGGCGAAGTAACAAACGCGCGCGCAAGTAAATGATCCGAGGCGAAGGACAAGGAGATGGGAGGTCAGGCTTCGCCTGACAAAGTTGCTGACGGGTTTTAATTAGCGACAGGGGGAGGAGATTAGACGAAGCGAGGCACTCTTCGCGCTAGCATCGCTAATGCATCTTGGAATGGGATTCCGAGGGGGTGGGAAAGGGCGAGACCTTCAGAAGTGACAATTTCAGGAACGATTAGCCGTCACGGTCTGAGTTATGCGCTTACTAAACGGAGCACCTCGCACCCCACGGAACGGAACTGCGGCGTGCATTTCGTAAAAATAGAATTAGAGGGGCTGGGAGTGTGCATTCATTCTCTTTCTCGTTTTATGGTGCGAGGGTGAAGAGTGACCGGGACGAAAAATTAGGCCGGTGATTATACGCATTAAAAGGAAGACACTGATGATGTCTTATTTATTTCTGGCCCCGTTCTGAACGAGAATTTCTGGCTGACGCCTCCTTGTATAAATGATATTTAGATCGTTAGCGAAGATTCATTAAGTGTTATCTTCAAATTGTTTAATTAAAACGAGCGAACAGAGGCGTATAATAATGTGTTTTGTTACAATTGTGTTTGGTATATGTATCTTGAATGAAAATGAATTCTACGAAGATGAATTGAGTGTGAGTTATATATTTCAGGTCGAACTTACAACGACTTGAACCAGTACCCCGTGTTCCCTTGGGTGTTGACTAATTACGAGACGAAAGAGCTCGATCTCAGTCTGCCCAGCAATTATCGTGATTTATCAAAGGTACAAGAAAAAGAAAAAAACGTGTATGTTAGTGGTACAACTGATATTCCATCGCGATGCTTACTGAAATTTCCCTATGTCTGCTTAGCCAATCGGAGCGTTAAATCCAAGTAGAAGGGCTTATTTCGAGGAACGCTTTCAAAGTTGGGAGCATGACAGTATACCGCCGTTCCATTACGGCACGCACTATTCCACAGCTGCTTTTGTTTTGAACTGGATGATACGCGTGGTAAGTATTTTTGACACGACTAAAAATATTCTATTTCTCACAAGTTTGCAGCTCGCTCAGATATAAAATGGAAAATGCCTTTTCGACTCGATATTTTGTAAATAGAACTCACTTCAAGGAGCAACGAAATCGTCGATTCTCGAGCTCTGACTATTTTAAAAACCCATCCACTTGGAGCCATAAATTTCGACGGAATCGGTAGTATCCACACGCTAATTTGAAGGGCGTTGGAACGCCCTGGCAATCAACGGGGCCCGCCTTTTCCTCAAATCCATGCAGTTCTTCAGTTTCCTGCTCTTTCATTTCAAAGCTGCACGCATCGTTGCAATTTTTATTATTTTATCGATCAGACATGTTAATTTCATTGCTATTACCACACCGAGTAAGATGAAAGCAAGAAAAAAGTCATTTATATGATTCCTTTATTACAGAAATCGAATTTAAGTGCCCTCAGATCCAGGATTTAAAAAAAAAAAAAAAAAAAAATCAAACTTGAACGATTCTACTTTCTAATATGTAGCTAACAAGATCATTAAGGACTTTGATCTTGATCTTTTTAATGGATTAAACATAAAACGCGTCCTTTTTCGCAAGTATAATACTCTTTCTTTTATATTTGCTGTTTGTCTTATTTTATCCTAATGAGCTTTCCCCATAAAATAAATAAATAAACAAACGATTCGATTTATCACTGTTTCTAGTACAATCCATTGCATTTACATACGCACGATAGCAATCGAATCCGATGTAGACGGCGGAGCTCGTACCAACGAGCATGACTTCCTCGCATTTACATACAAATCGTCAATAAGCGATTTTACTGTTGTTTCACCGGCGAGACGCCCCGCTGTTTCCGCGTAAGAATATACTACATCGTAAACAATTTATCGCTTTATAACTGCACCGCTTCTTGTCTCTTCGAGGCCCGTTTCGCCGGATCGCCTTCGAAAACGTGGCTTCGGCAACATAGTTCCAGGCTACAAACAGGCTCGTTCTCTCGCGTCATTGTAAACGTCGCAACTTGTCGAAAATCTCGCTCGCCGACAGGGTTGTAAATCATAGCTGTATCTTCGACGCCTACGCGTGAAACTCGTGTGCCGATCACGGGGGGTCCTCTGTTAACATTCATCAGCCTGTCAGTCAGAATGAACGAACTGACGGACGACCAAGCGCGAAACCATACAACAAAGTAGCGTCACCGGCGGTCTTCTCGCGTGACGGTTTCAGGATTTCTCCCTCGCTGTTCCTGAGGAAACGCGTGGCAGAACTTTTGGAGAGTTAGAAGGAAGTTGACATCGTTGGAAGAGAGAAGAAAATTCGAAAACGAATACGACGTTGAGAATTTCTTGAATTTCGTGAATTTTCGTCATCTAAGTTTAACACTAGAACTACCGAGTGATCAAAACGACTAATTCATAATTTTCTTTTCTTTAGATATATTATTATAGATATATTATTTAGATATATTATATTTTTATTATATATTATATTATTATAGATATATTATATTAGATGCAAAATAGTGTTTAAATGGTTTTTTATAAAATACAGGAATAAAAGTTTGTGCATTGTATTGTATTTCTATTTCTTTCACTTTAATATCTCTGATCAAAATTTTATGCTTTAGTCCTTGGTAGTTCTAGTGTTAACGTCCAACGACGATAAATAATCATACATCAAATTTTCGGCAGTTGAAGAGAAGGATTCAATCTTCGGATCTATTGTAGATTTAATCATAAAACATTTTTCCTTTTTTTTCAATATTTTTACATACTATGGCAGTCTACAGTATCTCTGAGAAGAAGAGTTTCCTCATATTGTTACATCTTGGAACAAAATGAACGATGCACTTTGAAAGTGCAAATTTTTAAATTCACAGCAATTTCAATTTACTGTGTTTACAGTGTGTTTGGACATCAGTCTATTTAATCAGTCAAATTTGGAGAATTAGAACTTTCTCAGCGAAGAATTGGCATTCATGTGTTTGCGAATTTGATATTTCAGGAGCCGATGACAACGATGTTTTTGGCGCTACAGGGTGGCAAATTCGATCATCCGAATCGGTTATTCTCCTCGATCGCTCTATCTTGGAAGAATTGCCAACGTGACACTTCGGACGTTAAGGTTCGTATCACTTTTTCTTTTTTTTATCTTCGAAAGCCTGTCTATCAAATATATTGTAACAAATTATTCTTCCTAATAGGAACTGATTCCGGAGTTCTTCTTCCTACCGGAAATGCTAGTGAACAGCAATCGGTATCGGTTGGGCAGGCAAGAGGATGGCAGCGTGGTTGGCGACGTTGAATTACCACCGTGGGCGTCGTCTCCGGAAGAATTTATACGAATCAATCGAATGGTAACTATCCAAAAATTGCGTTCGACTCGGATATACGTCAAAACTCATTCTCTTTTCTTTTCTTTTTCTTTTTTTTAATCATTTTTAATTACAGGCTCTCGAGTCCGAGTTCGTGTCCTGTCAATTACACCAGTGGATTGATTTAATATTCGGCTACAAGCAAAAAGGTGAGATCGATATACCAGACTTTTACTTTCTTGAAGAGAGAAACGAACTCGTAGGAAAAAATATGAGTGAGAAAGGAAAGAATCATTGTCGTGGAAGTCTGACGAAATCCAAGTGGCATTAATCATCCGCGTGAAGCTTCTCACGGACGGAATCGACGCGACATCCGCACAATGGCGCGATCCGTAGTTGGCCAGGCCGGGTGTTGGGACACGCGTGGTCGAGTCAAATTAGATTTCCACCGATGGTAATTGACGGTGGCGCCTCTATATCCGGCACTTCTGCGAAGATGCTGACGCCAAGGAGTCACCGGGTGCCGGCGCTTGCCGCGCGTATGGAAGGAATTAGTTTTTAGTTAGCTTCCTCCCGGTCTTGTCCCAACCAATTAGGCACGTGTGCCGGCCGCGACAATGCGCGCCACCCCTAATACGCGCCACGTTTACAGTTGGTTGCGCGAGAGTACAGGCAACCGGATATACCGGCCACGAGCAATCGGTTGCCGCTCAGAGAGAATCTACGATCTACTCGGTGATAAAATTAAATCAATGGCTCAGATAACTCGGAAAATATTTTTAAGTGATGGCATCGCAGAATAAATATCTGATCAACTTGCAACAATTGTAAATTGACAATCGGAGAATTGTTGTTGTGGAAAACACTGTCAAAAGTCATCAAATTCTCAGCCATTGTTACAATCCAGTGTTTATTATTACAATTCTCCAGTGTTTATTATTACTTGTGAAAATAAAAATACATTGGCATCAGGAAAATTTTTGATTTTTTGTTTTATATACAAGTAATCTGAGAGCTGACAGGATCGGCTATTTTGTTTGCAAGTTTATATTTATTTTATTAATTTTTGTTTAATCCTTGCCTACTAGGCTTAGGATGACTTCTAGTTTCCATCTTTGTCTTTTCGCTGTACGGTGGGCTACATTTACATGTATTTTCTTACTCTAATCTATTAACCGCGTTTGCAAGTTTATACGAACACCTTAAATAATTTTAAATGAACTTTTCTCTTCCAAAACTTGATGTTCGGCACTTGAAGACCCTTCGATCGCACAAGTTAATTATGAAATATGAAACGTTCCTTCGTGGAAGGTTGAGAATGTATAAAATTCGCTTTTTTTCAATTCGTTTTCAGGTCCGGAAGCTGTTCGAGCAACGAACGTTTTCTACTATCTGACATACGAGGGTAGCGTGGACCTGGATACGATAACCGATTCGGTCATGAGAGAGGCCATAGAAAATCAAATACGAAACTTTGGTCAAACACCGTCGCAACTTTTAATGGAGCCGCATCCCCCGAGAAGTTCGGCGATGCATTTGGTAAACAATGTTCATTTCATAGTACGTTATGCTTCTCAATAGTGTCGTCGTTACGTAGCATTTTGTAGATACCGTGTAATAAGAAGAGTGTGCAATGTATATGTAGGTAATCTGTTTAGAGGGAAAGGAGGAAAGGATCTTTAGACTAACAATTCAACAGGTTCTAAATCAAGGATGTGATGTTGTTAAGAGTATTCTGTTAGTTTTAGAGCAGTAGCACCGATTTCTAGAAAAATTCGCGAATTTGTCGAGTTAGTTTGCAGTTTGTTAGCTTGCAGTTTTCGTTAGATAGCTCTCTCTTTTTGTTTTCCAAACTTTATAATTGAGACACGAGCAGCTGGTTCTGCAAGGAATTGACTAAAAATATTTGACGCTTCTGTGACTTTTGTTCGCTTGAACTTAGAAGAAGGTGAACTTAAATGTGCTTCTCTTCATTGTGTCATTCAATTTCATGACTTTTACTAACAAACGTACTTCGAAAAAAAAAAAAAAATGTCACAAAATCACGAGGGGAACATTATACCAGGAACTGTACCTCGTTCGAAGGAAAGTTTCATCAAACTTTTTTTTTTTTTTTTTTGACAAAATGTTAAGAGGGATTCGCCATTCCGATGTAATTAACAGAATACTAAACTTCATCCTCGACATCTCTAACCGAGCCACTACTACTCGACAATCATTCAACGAGTTACTATATATTTACCTACAGAAGTGTACAATGCACGCTTTTCTTTCTGTTCAATCGTCCCGAACGAGAAGAGTACCGCAAAGTTTGACAAGACGTTGCCACCCGTGTTGCAGTCGCCGATGATGTTCTCGAGTATCCCGGACGACGTGTGCATGACCATCAAATTCCCGTCGAACTCGCCGATCTGTCATATCTCGGCGAACACGTATCCTCAGTTACCCTTACCATCCGTTGTCACAGTCACTACTGGACAGCAATTCGCTGTCAACAGATGGAACACTAATTACGCGGGTATTTACATTAAAATTCACGTTCAACCCTTTCGCTGTTGGCATACACAGTTTCACTCACTACACAGCGTTTTCTCGTAATTTCGTTGCACAGCGAAAGGGTGAATTTCATTGTCGTTGAGAAATTGAATCGTTCGGTTTGTAGCATCTGTCCAGTCGCCAAGTTACGCAGATACTCCGCAGGCGCAAGCCGCTAATCAGCCATTGTCGATGGATCCTGTCCTATGTAAGTGCAACGGAGAATACAAGGGAGAGTGATCGGTTAAAAGTTATTCTAATCGAGCGTTCGTTGCAGCTCAAGCGGCGAACAGCTCGAATCCAACGTTACGACGTCACTTGGGCGACAATTTCAGCCAGAAGCTAAAGATAAGGAGCAACTGCTTCGTCACTACGGTGGATAGTAGATTTTTGGTCGCTTGCGGTTTCTGGGACAATAGCTTCCGTGTATTTTCCACCGAAACTGGTAATGACGAGTTTACGAATAAAGAGGAATTTTAGCTCCTAATGCTGGCAAAACGATTGACACCTTTTTCTCTGTTTCAGCGAAAATCGTGCAAATCGTGTTCGGTCACTACGGAGTCGTCACGTGTCTGTCACGCAGCGAATGCAATATCACGTCTGATTGCTACATAGCGTCTGGAAGTGCTGACTGCACGGTGCTGTTGTGGCACTGGAACGCCAGAACACAGACGATCGTTGGTGAGGGTGAAGCACCAGCACCAAGGGCAACCCTTACGGGACACGAGCAGCCAGTCACTGCTGTTGTTATCTCAGCTGAACTGGGCTTGGTTGTTTCTGGCTCTTACTGTACGTGATTAAACGATACTTTCGAGTTTCTTAAGTTTTTTAAATTTAATTAGCAGAAGTTCGAATCCGAAGATACTGTTTCAGAATAATGTTTAACGAATTATTTTCTGTACGTAGACGGGCCAGTTCTTGTACACACGACTTTCGGTGATCTTCTGAGATCGTTGGAGGCGCCAAGTGGCTTTTCCTCGCCTGAAAATATCGCAATGTCGCGAGAGGGTGTTATCGTCGTGAATTACGAACGCGGCCATATAGCAGCGTTCACTATAAACGGGAAACGGCTTCGCCACGAGTCTCACAACGATAATCTTCAGGTAAATTCACTTCATCGTTTCAACAATACCGATTCGGTTCTACCGTATGATCTGCTATAAATATCGCAATTTTCGTTTTGCAGTGTCTACTTCTTAGCAGAGATGGCGAGTACTTAATGACAGGTGGTGATAAACGAATCGTAGAAGTTTGGAGGACGTTTAATCTAGCTCTTCTCTATGCATTCCCGGCCTGTGAAAGCAGCGTGCGTTCCTTGGCACTCTCACACGACCAAAAGTAAGTGCGGCTAGACGCTGATTTCATATGTTACTTTCGTTTCTTCAATTTCAAATTTACTTATTTGTTTGTTTAACGGGAGAGTTCATTGAAGAGGGAAACAGATAATAATAACATAAAACAAAGAACATTTACAACAATGTAAATGTAAAGGAAACAGTATTTGTGAAAAAGGATGCGTTACTTTTACGCGTTTTATGTTTAATCTGCGAGTTATTAAAAAGGTCAAGATCAAAGTGTTTAATAATCTTGTTAGCTTAATAATCGTGTTGTTAAATTATATTAGAAACTCTGAATACAGAGTCCAATTGCTCAAACTTTTTTTTTTTGTAAATCACGAATCTGGAGAATTTCTAGGATATCTAGAAGGAATTTAACTCAAGTTAACTTATTAACTCTATAATATAGATATAAAGAAATACAGTCGATTTTTGCATTGACCTCTTGGGTATATTTGATGAGATACTCATTATGTATTTTTTGTTCCAAACTGCAGGATAAACAAACAGTCTAATTTGTCAAAAAATTTGAATCAATATTTTGCAACATTATCTGTCCACTTTAAAGTATTTAATGGGCTCGTCATCGGTGGCAAAACAGTACACAAAAAGTATGTCGTTATACCTTGTCCGTAATACGCAGCCCCACAATGTCGAAACGACAATTTTAATCTGATCAAGAATTTGATGATGGCTCGTCAAATGAAGATTACAGCGAGCTAGAAAATTTGAAAGAACGTCTAACATTACGTCATACACAGATATTTATAGAAATAAATGAATTTTTTGCTGAAATCTCTCGTTGTGTTTTCGTATTTTCTTTTCGCGAAAAATTTATTAACAGATTAACAAGGGATCGAGCATCTCGCAAATCCAAAAGAAGCAAACGGGAAATTCGACGACCATCTTCCTTAGGGTTTCGAAATACGATGATTGTAATTTATTCAACCCTCTTTTCAGGTTTCTTCTAGCTGGCCTGGCCAATGGGTCGATCGTGATCTTCCATATTGACTTCAATAGATGGCACCATGAGTTCCAGCAACGCTACTGAGACTGTTTCGCGTACGTCTAGCAAAGTGGAAAGAGACACGAACGTAGTTCATCTGTCGTTCGTCTTCCTTGCATAACATCGACAGATTCCTCTCATTGTCAGTCACGTACGGATCTCAACGGTAACGTCTACTTAAACACCAGTCTCGCGACATCCGGCCGTGTGTATAATTCCATTCGAACGGATTCACGACTCGGTCGTGACGTGTCGAGTTCGAGGAAAAGTAAGGGAAACGTATCGTGCAATAACGCGGGGATCAGACGGAGCGTTCACCGATTTGCGTTTCGATCGTTTTGAGCAAAGGGAGCGGAAGGGATGAACGGGGTCTGATCCTCACGAGTGTTTACAGATAGGAGCAACGAGCAACGACGCTTTCGTAATCGTTTACAATCAAGTAGTAGTGGGCGCAGAGAAAACAGTAGTCGCCGAGCAGCAGATATACTCACGATATATTCAGCGTTTTAGCAATAAAGAAAAATTGAAACGGAAGGGAAATACTCGCTTTCTCGCGACTCTATGGGAGAATATTCGAATATGCTTGCGCGCGAATCGATGACCATGCACAAGCGCGCGAAGCTAGGGGTGGAAATTTCGAGCACGGGAGAACTGGCCGGGCTCGAGCGCGCGTTATTCGTATCGATACTTGCCTCGAGCTTTCTAGCCATGCAAAAACCTTGAGAGAGAGAGAGAGAGAGAGAGAGAGAGAGAGAGAGAGAGAGAGAGAGAGGGAGAGAGGAAGAAACACGAGAGCAAATACGTGTAATTTACACACGTTCTCTCTCTCTCTCTCTCTCTCTCTCTCTTTCGCGGAGACCGCTAGTCAATTACGAACACATTCTTCAATCTATCTGTACGCTTGCGAAAACTCTCGAAGGCCGGATTCTCTCGACTCACCCACCCACCCACCTCCCTTCCCCCGTACGAGGGTGCGTGGCGCAATCATGCAATCGTGATCAGATCCTCGGACAAGTAGACTCGCGGCAAGGGAATCGCGAGTAATCTCTGTGTGACAAACGCCGTGACCGCGTTAGAAATTCCCCTGTTGGAAATTAACACACGTGTGACTATCGTCTCCGGTGACCATACTGTCTAGTGCTAGAGTAACGTCCCGTGTAAATACGATTATCTCTACAGCGTATAAATATACATAAAAAAAATATATATATATATATATATATATTATATATTCTATACATACACGCATAATTCCGTGTTAAGGTGTCGACGAGCGAATGAGCAACATGAGATGAGGGAGAGAATTGTATTTCTGCGCCAATCACGTAATTGCTGCTCGCGATAACGAGACACTCTTTGGCTAAGCACTTAGTGAGTTCAGTTTTACGAGACGTAGGGAACGTAAACTCAGACACGTACACTCAGACAGATTTTTTTTTTCCACGAAAGTACATTATATTAAAGTATGCCGACACCTAGAGACAAGGAGACACAAGGTTTGCACAAGGAGGCAATCGATGCTTTTTTTTCGCAGGGCCACGTCTACACTGGATTGCCCCGATCTCACGAAACACACATACACACACACACACACACACATATATATATTGCAACACCATTCACCATGATCATCACCCATCACCCCGCAACACTTCCTACTCCCTGACATTCACGTCCTTCGAAAGAGATCCTAATTTTTGATCAAAGCCGTCCAGCTTAACTTTTTGCGAGGATATTTCTTGGTATTTTCGCACGCGATGTATAATTAATCAGCAGAGGCGAAGAATTATTAATAGGCTTTAAAAGCGAGCGAGTCTGAATCACGTGGATTTACCCCGAATTGGTTTCGTGTGTGAGCGTGTCGCCCGTGTGACATTCATTCGAATGGGACAGGAGATAAGGATCGTGTTAGTCGATCGCGAACAACCGTGGAAAAGGGAGATGTATCGAGAAATACGATAACATCGCGAATGATCCATGCGACTCTCGTCTACTCGTCGTTTCGCTGTATTTCACGAATGCTAGTAGCCCTTTCTTCCGTATAGACGCAACACCGGTGTTCGTCGTTGAATGAAAGGAAAAACGCGTGTGCCGCACAGCTTTCATTGTTGCAATCGATACTCGATACCGACTGTCGGCAACTGTCGTTCGCTTACCTTACCGACGTAACGCGCCAAAGCGAGTCGCTACAATCTGGCGAATCGGTGAGACCGGTACTTTTTTTACACGCACGTCCGTTTAGCCATCTCGGTAGATCTCAATCTCAGTGTTTTGCTTCAGTAACGATGCAGGTGACGTGATATTCGAGTTGGGTTGGTTTTCGAAGGTTGACGAAGAAACGGAGGGGACAAAGTGTGCGAAAAGGGCGCGAGAAGAGTGAGAAGCGTGAAAGGAGCGCGGCGTAAATGAGAGTGTAATTCAGAGCGAATGAATTTTTGCGGCCGCGTCGGTAATCGCCGCAGCGCGACATCTCGCGGATCGGGACTTAATTTCGCGGTACGATTCTGTACGATTCACATTACAGTGGAAAGTACTTAACTTTAAAAAAAAAAAAAAAAAAAAAAACAAGGATAAATCAATCGCGCTTAACGAAGAATGATCGAAACGTGTTCGAATTGCGAAATAGAAATGGAAGTTTCTCCGGGTCGGAACGGAAAACGTAAATCGTCTCAGGACTAGTATCTAGTCACAGAACTCGCGGCGAGAAGCGTGACGGATTACCGGCGGATCTCGAATTCCTTAGATGTCGATAAATTTAAAATTTCAGAAACAAAAAAGAAAAGAAAAAAAAAAAAAAAATCATGTTACAGTACACGTCTACGTGGTAGATCTAAAGTAAGTGCATGGTGCCGTCGTTTCTAGCGATCAATCACTCTCTTGAGCTTGCGAGACAAACAGACAAACGAGACAAAAAAAAAAAAAAAAAAAGGAAAAAAAAAGAAAGATGTCACGATGTAATAAACGTTTTAATGTTGGTTCTTGTATTGTGCACGCCGGCCCATAGCTGGCTTCGTTAATCGTACAATTTATACACGCATAGAATAATGTTACGTGTGCAAAAACAACGTGTTAAAAAACAATGGTATTATCGCTGCTACTCGTTGTGGGCGTGCTTATTGCATGATTGTTCGTGTCGTTCTGCTCGTGTGAAGAAACAGAGAGAAAGAGAGTGAGTGAGAGTGCGTACAAAACAGTGGGATGATAAGAGCAAAAAGGGGATGCTGGGGGATCGAGAGAAAGAGGAAGAGTCAATGTGCACGTGTTTGCTGTGTGCGTGTTCGTGTGTGAAAACGAGGATCGTGCCTGGTGCTTTGGATAATGTTCATTTCTCGCACGCGCGCGCGGTGACGGCTCATCGCGCGCGTAACCGTTCACACATTGTACTTAATTGTACAGTCCGCGTATTATCGACACCTTATTTTCACTACGATGGAATTAGCAAAAAGGGGACAAAGTGGAAAGTTGCGAGAGAAACGAAACGGTGAAATACAACAGGCAAGGAGATCAAGTGTAGCATACGCGACATTCGAACTGCATCCTCTGCTTTTCGTATAGGTGGTGTTTCAAAGCTTTGAAGCTCGAGAGAAAATCGCGAGGTCGGGAGAGATTTTCTCGAGCTTTCGAAAGTTTGAAAAACTCATGGAAATGAATAACCGACGAGCAGAGTGATCGGTGAAAATGTACCGCAATGTGAACGAAAACGAGAAAATGAGAAAAAGAAACAAAAAGCGGTGTGAAAAAACCAAAAAAAAAAAAAAGAAAAAAGAAAAGAGAACAAAAAGATTTTAAACAGAGGAGTTTTTATATTTGTTTATAGGTGTGTGAGAATGCTGCACTTTTTGAGCAAGTTGTTAGTAAATTCCCTCCATATTGCTATATATATATATATAATATATATATGAAAAATATATATAAAGGAAGTTAACAAAAGAAAAAAAAAGAAATCAATTTTCTGTCCGTACTCGAACTTCGGTACACGTAAGGATAACGCTACTATTTTAAATAACGCTAAGTACAACGCTACGACAAAGGTTTGCCTATATAATTATTATTACAACTACATTTTATTCTCATTATTAATTCGTATGGTTATTATTAATTATCACTCTGATCACAAGGTATAATTGATTAATGTTCTCGACATCACACAGCGTTTGCGAGTGCATTTCGACACGAGTACTTATTAAGAAGTATTATATAATAATCGAGTCGCTGAACGCGAACGACACATAAAAAAAAAAAAGAAAAAAAAAGAGAAGTGAACACGGAGAAAATGAAATAATAATAGTAATAATATTAATAATAATAATAATACTAGTAATAAAGAAAGAAAGAGAGATTTGTACAATTCGAGAATGAGTTAGGGTTCGTCCGATGGTTTTGCGACGTTATTCACCGTGAATCATTAGGGAAACGCGAAAGGTAAATTGCGAACCATATGCAGCGTGATAAGAGACAAACACACAAAAGAATATAAAAAATTAAAAAAAAAAACAGAAGTAGAAGAGAGGAATACGCAACGGTTCGTTTAGATATACGGAACTGCCCGTAATAAAGTACTCGGGTACGGATTTAATCAAACGTTGTACGTTTCTAAGCGTAATCACGGGCGGATGAGAGGGGCGAGCGCTTAAATGTCGCGGGATAACACTTACTCGGACGCTTAGTCGTTAGAATTGTAATCTGTTCAGTATTTAACTGCGCCGCGGAAGAAAATCGCGACGACGCGACGTTGAATCGATCCGAGATCGAAACGCAAGATCGAAACGAACGTCGAACGGGCGAGTTGTCTCGCGGACAAAGGGAGATCTCGTCTCGTCGTCGCGAGCTTCCTCGCGGCCGCGGAATTTTTCCAAACAATCGATAAAAGTCAATACACACGCGAGATCGTAGAGAGAAAACTAAAAAAAAAAAAAAAAACTTATAGATAAAGCAAACAGTGAGAAGAAGAGGCAACACACATTACACACACAGAGAGTAATAAAGGACATGTAGCGCGAGATCACGTAGTGCTGCGATTGTTTAAACGAGATCATCGAGTTCATCTGCGTCAAGTAGCGTTTTATAATCGTGAGTCCGTTTTCTTATGGTAAGCGATGCGATTTGAATAATTGTACAGCATTTGTAATGCTACACGAGCCATCCGCTCTGGATTAAGCTTAAGCCCATCCGGTTCACAAACACACGCAGATACAAAACCAAGTTTAATCGCTGCAGTTACATTTCTTCAAAGACTGAACATCGTTCCGCGGCATATTGTTTTCTATGTACGTATATGCATAATGTATATTTCACCAGCACGTTACAGCACATGTCATTGTTGATCGTAATTTCAAGCCAGCATCTAGAATCCGCGTGTACACCGGCTCTGAGAGAATTTTCGATTAGCAAAACTCCGATGGAAGCTCGGGGAAGCGAAATGAACGAGAGGGATAAAAATTATGTGTGGGCAGAAGAGGAAGATAGCAAAATGCAAAGAAAAAGAAGAATAACAATAAAAAAAAAAAAAAAAAAAAAGAATAACAAAAAAAAAAAAAAAAAAAAAAAGGAAAAACACAAAGACGGATGATAATATGGCCTAACTTTTTCACAATTTCACGACGCGATAAAACGACGTAGATAAACGCATTAGAACGCCATGAAACGAAACAGGAAATGATCGAAGATAATAAAATGATAAATGAAAGAAGCAAACATGGACCGATGTTCGATCGACGAACAAATGACTGCAATGTTAATTAACAGTTTCAAACGGAACCTTGATGCTTGTCTAAATATGATTTACCGACCGGAAGCCAAAATTGTAACTGCGACACCACACGCCGGTTAAAGCCTCGTCGGCGACACGGACGACGCAGGTTAATCCCCGGCACTTTTAACAGAGTACTATTTAAGTAGTGGTACTTAAGTCGTTGCTACATACCAATATAAGCTCTATTGCTTATTTTATACTTAGTATTATCGTAACGTTTCGATTAGAGGTAACATAATGGGAAAGTTGTATCTTAGCATAAGGTAGACTAATCTGTAAAGATAAGTAGTCAAATAAATGAAAAGTACATTTGATGTTGCAGACGGTTTTTTCACTTTTACCTTCTCGCTGTCACGTCGTGCTACGTTGATGATCGAAATTATTACCTCGATCGATGATGGTCGTCGCTGCGGTACTACTCGTTGGCCGAAAAGTAACTAAGCGTTTCTTTTTGTGTGCAAATGAAAAATGATTTTTTTTCAGGAGGAACAAGAACTTGATATTGTTCGATCTTTTAGGCAAACGCATGATTAAAACAATTCTTCTCTTTTTCAACAGAAAACAGTTTCAGTAATTTGATTTCAATAGTGAAATTTAGCGAACCAATTCTAACACTGCCATAGTTTGAAAGCTTCTTCATCGTACACGTCAGGCAATCTTTCATGAGCTTGCACAGCGCTTCTTTTTTTCCTTTTCGGAAATAATATAACAAAATGTAACGAAAATGTTTCTTTTTGATTTTCTGCTTTGAAATCGACGCCAAACGAACAATTGTCAATGAAATCGTGCATTTTCTGAAACAAGCTCGAGCCATTATGTAATCAACTATCAGATGACATGATAAATTTACGGTTTAAAATGAAATTAATTATATTTTAAAATACACATAAACGTCCGTCAAATTACTTTTTCGCCAACTCGGTGTTTAGAGGAAGAAACAAAAAAAAAAAAAAGTATCATTGAAATGGATTCTCAAGAAATAACTCAGGTTCTATATGGTACCGATTTATTTATTTCATTCACAATCACAAGGAGACATTTGCATGTCCGAATATACAGTACAGATTATATACACTCGTTAGAAAATACGTATTACCAGCGGTACCGGGTTACTCAAGTCGACTCGCCTGCAGTTTCGGTTAAACTGTACTACACGGTTATTTTGTACCACTTTCACGAACAGTAGACTTCAAACGCGAGATCTTGCTTCTATTGAGTTACGTTTTTCCCCTCTCAGCTCGAGAATCGCTTGTCCGGAGTGAGAGATACGTAAATCACCTCGTCGTGTGATATGCATGCGTGCTCCACAGATATCTTTCATCCGCGATCGATACCTCGCCGGTCAGACAAATCGAATGGAACGACGCGAAGCGAAACGACATCGTATCGTTCGACGTTACTCGAAAAACCCGGTTACGGTACAAAAAAAAAAAAAAACAAAAGGGAGAAGATAACCAGCTAACTCGAACATCGATGTATAGAAGTGGATAGAAAAATGCCAGATTGAGAAAATAATTGTTCCAGTGACGATGAGTGTAAGACAGGTCGACGACTTTACATATTATTTAATTAATTTCTGTTCGTATTCAAAGTTACGATTCTTCTAGATATTTCTAAGATATTTCTCGAATGCTTGAAGTTGGAATGTTTGTTCGATTCTCCGATCGGCTTCGACTTTGTCTAAGGAACCTGAGGACGCTAATTTCACTCGTGAACAATTTTTCAAACAGACGGAACGAACGAAAATATTGGAGAAGAGAATACACTATAGAAAAATATAGAAAAATATATATCGGAGAGGAGAAGGGTATGGAATTGGAAAATACCGTTGAAATCCTATTGCAATGATAGATATGGCAAAGCCACATGAGGGACGTCTCTACACGTAGACACCATTGATCCTAAACTTTAATGGTATCTGTTGCCGCAATTGTGTTCCTTTCTCTTCGCAAGTAAGAACTCTTTGTACTTCCTTTTATTTTTGCTAATCCTTGTTAATATTATTACCTCTCAGTATCCTTCATCGATAAGTACCCATGACCTCGACACGATATTACAGATTAAATGCACGCCTTGGAACAGCACCGACCTATTCTATCTACTTCTTGCGCACATGTAGAAAAGAAAGTTCTTCAGTCTCGACTACTCCAATCGCGTATGATCAAGTGACGTGGGTATCATTATAATTACGATCGTAATTACACGAGTAGATTCAGTCTGCTCGGTACAATGCTCGTAATTCGTACCAAAGAGTTATAGTTATCGTCGTGTTAATTTCGTCTGCTGTGTAGCCAACGATGGGCGTCGCTGGAATCTCGAAGGACGATCTCGAAACACTCAACGACAGCCAAACGATCAAATTGACTGGATTGGATACTCGTATATTGATACAAGGACTATACAGCTATACGTGTAGCGTATATATGCGTGTATATATACTTCGAGAATTAACCACTAAAAGCCTTTATAACGTTTCTGCACTACTGTCTACGGTTCTACGGTTATCTTGTGGCTTGGCACAGTTTTTTTATCGTGTACCTACTACAGCGTTTATAGCGTCGCCATTTTTTTTTTTCTCGCTAGCAGTTAGCTCAGAAAATCATTCTATGGTATTTTGTGTATATATTTCGATACGGGGTTAAGGTATACTTTCAACTACACGGAACACAGAGTGCCTTCAAGAACGAAATCTCATCACCTTTGTCGTTACGCCAAGCAATTATCCTCTTTTACGTACAAATCGCGATTATTCGCTTCTCGATAATCTTCCTCATCCATCTTCCAAAGACGCCCATGTACATTCAGAAACAGTGGAGTTTCTTCAAAATACTTTTCATGGCTGATCGATCGTTAATCGATACAAAATACAGTAGAACTCCAGTTCAACGAGAGCTAAAAATTACTGTTACCGTATAATACGATTGAAAAATTGTCGAAGAAGATTCATTTGCGAGATGAGAACGTATTTTTGTTATTAATATCTTGAGCGACATTTGTTGCATTATTTCAATACGGAATTTATTTCAATCGCAAGTAAACTGACCCATCGTTTAAGTAAGGCAATAGCTTCTTCTCCATTTTTAGTATTAAAAACAAGAGATAATGTCACAATTTCAAACATCTTTACAAAAAATGAGATTCATTTATATCCTTTATGCATATTATTATCTTCTATTTTATTTTTTAAAAGTTTCAACTTTTTACGCTCTTGATTCTATAGTGTGGAGTATCTCTCGCGTTGCGGGGAATCCTACTATACTTACCGCGGTATCGACCGAGGTATCACTGAACGCGCAACAATTGGGCTTCCTTCGCGTATCCCACATATTTCTATATTTTTAATTTAAATTATATAAATTAAATAAAATTTTACAATAAATATAAATTTTAGTAATAATTAAAAATTAATAATATCATTAATAGTTTAAAGTAATGAAAATGAATTTTGAAAAAATAAATAAGCAAAATTTTACCTTTTGTATCAGGGTTAATTAATTTATTTTAATAATTTTGATTATCTCGAAAATAAATAATCTAAATATTCGAGAAATAAAATAAATAAGTAATATAAATATTTAAATATAAATATAAAATAAATAAGTAATATAAATATTTAAATATAAATATAAAATAAATAAGTAATATAAATATTTAAATATAAATATAAAATAAATAAGTAATATAAATATTTAAATATAAATATAAAATAAATAAGTAATATAAATATTTAAATATAAATATAAAATAAATAAGTAATATAAATATTTAAATATAAATATAAAATAAATAAGTAATATAAATAAATAAATACTAAATAAAATAAATAATCTAAATATTAACAGATCGAGAAATTCAAATTTATTTTATAAAAAACTAGATATAAATAAATACGACAAACATTTAATTTCTAAATATATATTTATTTTTTTTATTTCACAAAAATAATAAATTTATTTGTATCTAGCTTTTTCTAAAGTAAATTTGAATTTCTCGATTCCTGCAGATGTGCACACACTTTCTTGCGATACATCGTAATATCGCCAATATACGTGCGATATCATACACGCTCCTCATCGTTCGCATTGATTCGTTCTTCCACGACGCGACGCAGCCCTTCGCACGTGCATGCATGCATCGTTACACATGCCGAGTACACACACGAGTATTACAGTTCGATAAATGTTCCTAGATAAACGTTTACTTAGACCAAGCGTCTACGAGACATCCGTAGATTAACCACTCTTCATTAACTTAGAACGGCTACACGTGTATTACTCAGGGGTTAGTACCAAGTTTCATCAACTCGGAACCTCGGACACAGTTACAAAAGTTACTTTTAATAAAATACTAACGTACCGATTCGTGGATGCTTAACGTAACGCGCTTATTGTGTGTGTTTCACGATTTTCGGTAATTCGCCAGTTGCGTCCGAACTACCGTTCGGTAATTTCTTACCTTCTAAATCCCCTAATTCTACGCGATTCCCTTCGAAAAGAAATGTTCTTTCTTCCCTTCCTTTTCCAGGTGAAAAGTTTAGCTGAGGTAGACAGACGTTATAACAGAAATTACAACGATCTTCACCGATTCAAGCTTTCAAACGTAATTTAATATCATCACGTTCACACACTCTCCTCGAGACAGAAGTTTGCGTTCGTATGCACTTTTATGTACGTGTGTGTGTGTGTGGGTGTCTGTTCATCTTACGTGAATGCACGTATCTCCGGGAGCGTTATCGCAAACCCATCGACGATCTGCTTTATACCGAAACACGTATCGCGTTAAATAAGAACATTTGCGCGAAGTTGGCGTGTAGGAGCGTGAATTAGTAAACGCCTAAATGTCTATACTTACCTGGGTTTCTTTTTTTTTTTTCATTTTTTTCTTTTTCATCCCGCTGTTGCCTCCCCTGCTGTGATTCACACAGAACATTACGATTAGCAGCGTTCACGGATACGGTTTTTTACGTTTAGGGGAAATATTGCTCTATCCGAAGTCTAGCTGGAGGATGATCTAACTGGTTAAGTCGGTTATTGTCCTTGGAACGTTTCCTCGTGCACAGAGATTGATAGATAGATAGAGAGAGAGAGAAAGAGAGAGTTACAAGTTAACTTGGAAAGCACGAAAGAGATCACGTTTTGATTTTACACTTTGCAGGATCCACTCGGTGGATTTCACGACGATCACCATTGAAAGCGCGTTAATCATTTCGTACATTTACCGCAAGCAAACAAGCACGCTATAGCTGCCTATACGACAGTGTACTACGTATGTGTAAGTAACCACAGTATGTTTCGCATCGTATAATTAAGCTTCATGCGCTGTTAGTATCGTATTTGCGGAACTTGGCGAGTTTAAATATTTGCGATGCTCGTTACATCGGCGTGCCGTGGTAAACGAATTCGATTTACAATAAATCGGATTGCCGTTTGCCAACGACCGAAATTAACAGGTTCTTCTCGTTTTTTTTTTTTTTAAAGAATTTATGTATTTCATACAGAAAGATTTTTGTTTTTTTTTTTTTTTTTAGAAAGAAATGTTACACTTTGGAACATTTTTGAACAGATACTTCAGAAAATTTCCACGAAAACAAATATTGAGACAAACAAAAGATGTTTATTCGTCTATTCTTAAGAAAATTTATTTACCTGTTCTCGTGGGGACTTACGACGTAAGAACATTTCTCGCGAAAGCTCTACGATTTAAAGGTACCTCAATCTTTTCGATCGCTGTTACTTGTCTTTCACGAGGTACGAATTATTTATTCGCAAGTATTCTTTTTAGTTAAGGATGTAAAAAATAAATCGTAAAGAGAGAGAGAGATCTATATAATTCAGCCACGATTAAGGAAGCAAACATAATACGACGTACGAATAAATTTCAAATCGGCGACGAGCGTTACAATCGCGATCGCGAAACAATTTCGTGTTGAATCTGATACGTTCGGCCATTCTACGCGATGATCCTTTTGTTCCTGCAACGCCGATTACTTCGAAGCGCTCTGTATATAGCGAAGATTCTTTTCTTTATTCTCGGCTCGCTGTTCCGCCAGACAATTATTTTCCGATATCGTTCGTGGAAATTTTGCGCGTCTCTATAGAGTTCCCTTGTCGTTATCCCGGCTTCGTGCTTGCATTGTTCGACCGGGAAAGAAGGGAGAATTGCTGTCGATTCGCATCGATCGAAAGTATCGAGCAGCGAGCAGTTTGCGCGGTCCGCCATCTTGGAGCGTCGTTCCATTCACAACCATTTTATTGGTCGATATATATCTCTTTTCTCTCATTGATAAAATATATGTGTACTGGTGTTGTACAATTGATAAGCTACAGTTTTCGTATTCGTGTGTACGCTCGAACGCAGGACCAGCCTGGATTCGTCTTCGAAAAATAAACTATTCTATCTCTTTTATATTTTATATCTTCTCCTATATTTTTCTTTCGTTCTTTCTCTCTTCCCTAACATTGTTTTCTTTATATTTATATAATAAACGTATATATATATTTTTTTGTTACTTTTCTTTTTTGCAAAGATAGTTTGAGCAACCTCGTCTTCCACCTATCGACTCCGCTATCGTACTACGTTTTAACAAACAATCTATCACGATTTGCTGCTCGTTTACTATTTCACGCTCGCCACATGTGATTATATTCCAAGAAGCACAGAGTGTGTTTTCTTTTTTTTTTCTTTTTTTTCTTTAACATTTTCTGTTTTTTCTTTTTTTTTTTTCTTTTTTGGTTTTTCATTTGGTTTGTCGTGTTTCTTCCGAACCGTTCTATTTTTGAGATAGAAATTGTACTTAAGTCAGTCAAGCGGTGTGCATCAAATGACGACAGAAGGAAACAACGCCCAAGCCGACGTCCGACAAGAACTGCGACTTCCCGCGATACTTATCCCAGCCGTGCTGTTTTCATCTGCAAAAAATCCCCGCCATATCGACGTTTCTTTCACGTTCGCCAGGGACGAGATATCATGCATCGCAAAATCGTTCACGAGGTGCCGTGAATGACACAAATCGCATGTTTTTCTTTTTTTATAAGAACTCGACACGTCTCGAACAATGATTTGGAGAAAAGTCAATTCATAAGACACAGTATGTCATTTATTAATAGGAAAAGGATCGGTAATCTTCGCTATTGTGGCTGAAATACTTCATTGAACAATCCGTAGCACTGAACAATGTCGTACAACGTGAGACATCTCGTCCACGGCACTCGAATTTTGCAACGGCCACAAGACTCAGTCGTAGAATCATTCAGAAAGTCAAATTAAATTCAGATTATTCGTATTTTTTCACGTGACTCGAACTTTGTGCAAAGGTGGAAAATTTTTTAACTTCCATCGAAATTCTCCGTTTTCATCGAGCTGAGTGTCCAATTATTTGTAAATTTTACTGAATTCAGAGGTCAGGACAGTGTGAAATTTTCAAAAAAGTCGATTTTTTTTTTTTTTAAATAGTAGTTTGAAGTCTTAGAAATAAGATACAAAAGGTTCTAGCCTTTAAAACGACTTATTTTGAGGTATAATAATAAATCCGCCACGGGTACAGTATAATTGAATTTGTATCATTGTTTACAACTTTAAGCAGTATTGTAAAGTGTAAATCGCGTGATTCAAATATTACTTTTGGTGAATCGAATATCAGGGGACTTGGATTCTATTTAGTTGTGAATTGTAGGAACTATGAGACGCGATGTATAAGTAAAAACAGTAAGTAAAGGATACATATGAAAAATAACGTTCTGAAACTTTAAACGCGTTTCTCTCGAAACTCAGTTTTTAGAAACGGTGTGCAAGATATCTTGGAATCTAACCGATTACTATGAAACTTGGTACGCATTTAGCGTAACATTTACTAGGGATTGACAATCGAACATTTTTTAATTTTCAACAATTTCAAAAAATATAAACAAAGAACGTAGAAATTTTTCGCATAAATTCGACACATCAGAAACAAGTAACTGCTATTTTCATAATTTTCACAAAAATGAAAATGTTGGATCGTCTAATCCCTAGAGAATATTGTTTTCTTAAAAAAAAAAGTTATGTAAAAGCATGCCGTTAAAAGGATCCCTCTTTTTTTCTTTTTTAACGTTGCTCTTTATAGTTCATAATGTGTTAAAATAAAAACCATAGAAGCTCGCGTCAATCAAATATGTAATTTTCTTTTTACCAGCCCTTCAAAGTATACTTAATTTTTAGACCCGTCACACTGTCCTGTCCCCTTCAGTAAAATTGACTCCGTTTTTATCCAACGGAAGCCGCGTTGAGTGTTCAATTATTCTGTAAATTACACTGAATTTCCGATAACTATTCAATCCTTCCTTACCTGCTGTTCAAGCAGCTCAGGCTCACGGGCAGAGGTTCCGAGCTCACGGATGGAATGTGGCCAGGGATCGACTCCATCAGCGGGTACCACTGCGTCAACGGTTTCCTCGGGTTCTCCAGCATCTTCAGCCACTGTTCGCGCCCGATGCCAATGAAATCGGCGCCGATCGCCGTGCAGCCCATTAATTCGTTCGAGCCGATTCTACGAAGTAAATCAGACGACGATTTGGCAAATCGTTGGGAGATTAACTGCGTGTTCAACGGCTTCTCCTGTTGCAAACGCTCACCTGTCGTAATCGATTACTTTCACTATGAGACTGACGTCCTCGATGTTTTCCGCCGGCACGTCGAACACCAGGATCTCGTTGTACACCGGGAACAGCGTGTTCTTTTTCACAGAGGTCTTCTTCTTTTTGATTCGCCTGTCCTGGCACAGCAGGTACACCTTCACGTACGGGTCTGGAAATGCGTTTGTCGCGCGTTAGGTATTATTCCCTCTGTGTGTTATTGAAGGGAAATGCAGAGAGGGCGGGATGGAAGGATACGTTGAAGAGTCGGGTGTTCGTGTTACACGGAACCCTTCTCCGCGAATCGTAGTTTCGCGGAGCAGTATGTAAAACGACGTGCTGTAGAAAAATTTGTAGGACGACAGGATGATGTCGAGTCGAGAGCGCGCTTCGAGGGCAAATTTTATTAGGCGAGTGAAAATATTCATAGTCATTCTCTCGTTCGAGAGTGAGAGAAAGAGAGAGAGAGAGAGAGAGAAATTTTGTTATTTTTCCTCTCGTCGGAAAGTACAATGTAAATTTCTCTCGTCCGCGATGATTAAAACTCGTTTGGAACACTTGCGGCAGTGTGCATTAATAATTCAAGGGAATTTGAATATTTACATGTTACGTAGGCTCGTGGTGACGAGCGTCCAGAGACTATTTTTCACTCTCGAATTGTTCACTCTCGTACACGTCGTTCTCTATTGTTTGATATTAAAATAACTGTGCGAAATAAATAAACCGTCGTGAGGGTAGTGAAAATTTTTGCACACATTTTCCGTTGGTTATCGACGGTCCCGGCGAATTTACCTGACGATCCTGTTATGTCCATGGCTTTCAAGTTTCTCGCTTTAATTACGGTCACTGTTAGCCGGCCGGCAGTTGGTAGGTAGCACAGCGACAGCATCAATTTTCCCAGGTCCACTTTGTCCTAAAAGAACGAGCAAAAACCGGTTCAGTTTCTAAAGTGGTGGAGGCTAACGCGATGCCCAAAGTCGAGGCCACAGCAGGCACACAGATTGTAAATTTCGGCTGGCCAAGGTCGTTTGTTTTATCGCAACTAGAACAAACATCGCGTTGCCATCTCGCGTGCGTATCGATAATAATGAAAAACTGATGTAAATCCGCAAAAAAAAGATCGTATAACGTTATATATTCGTTAATAATCGCGGTTTTTTTCTTTAATTTATTTTTGAAGACGATTTTATCGTCATACAGCGGGTGCGAAAGTTGCAAAATTGTAAAAATTTTGACGTAGAAACATTAAACAATTTTTTTCATGACTAAGTCTACCGTAGACTTGAAGATTGAAATTTTTCTCATTAACGAGCTTCCTTTTCCTTTACGAGCTCTTAAAATTCGCCGTGTGATTTTTTCTTTCAATTTTATTGAACTTTGGGAGTATTTATTGAACACTTTTATTAATGTTTATTTAATATTAGGTTCACACGACGAAACGTCAGAAAATTTTGTAAATTTTTGTCGTTTAATCCTAGTATTCAACGTTCAATAAAAAAGAGTGAAGAAAAAACAAGATTTGAAAGATCATTGTAACTTCAACTTTTCGAAACGATGGTGAATACAGTTAACAAAAGAATTTTTTTAATGCTTTTAACACGTTACATTTGAACTTCTACAAATCATCTTTGAAAAGAACGAATTCTCGATCGTCAAAGATTTCACACACTTTCAAATGAGATAAGGTACGATTATACAAAGTTACGTCAATTTAAATTATCGACGATTTTCCATTATCATTCACGTTTCCCATCCTTTAAATAAACTTTTAAATATTAAAGCAGAGTGTGCAACTCTTGATTGTTATTTTATTTATACTCTCATGTAATTTCAAGTAATGTAATTTTTAAAATGCGAGGAAACGCATCGAATTTCAATAGTGTCACAATTCGTCGAGATTCGTTTGTTACCTGCATAGCGCACAGAATGTCCATCGTGTACTCAATCTCTTGTTCGAGGTCGGTGCAATCCAACAACTCCTTGAGCACCACTTGCCCGATTAAATCGTTCCGGGAGAATCGATCGAAGTCGTACACGGAAAACTGGAGATACTGTTCCCTCAGTTCTTCATACGACACACTGGTAACAGATATCGATTGCGTTCGGTGCCACGAAGGATACATTGTTTGCAGCGTGCGTTCGCGTGTGACACGATTCATAGCAGAGTTGAGCAACAATCTAATCACTTTGTTATCATTTCAATTATTAAATGTAATCGTAGTAATCGTAATCATCGATGAAAACTAAATCGATAATCTCGATTAAACTTTGCAATTTGTAACCTTTAGCTGATAGTTTTTAAATCATTGAGTGATAAATAAATTTTGAATTTATATTTTATTACGATGTACACAGTGTGTTGTATTCCTTCTGCCATAACTTTACTGTATAGTGGTATCTGTGTTGTTAAACTTCCAATAATTTGCAATAATATTATAAAGAATAACTGTTAATGAAGAATTTCAAAATTTTGATCAATCGGCAAGTTTATCATTAAAAGTCAGATTGTGCTAATAAGATTCATATATAGATAAGACAATTCAATTTTTTCAAATATTTGGAACGAGCTCTGATAAAATTGTAGGATTGCAAAACAATGCAAATATGTAATTCCTCTAAGACATGCATTATTACTTTAATTACGATTAATATCCTGATTTCACATTAATCATAATCATGGATCATTAATCAGATTACGTTTTGCCCAACTCTGGTTCACAGATATCTACAGATAGTGCCATGAAATTTTGTTCCAACATAATATATCAATTTGAAAATTTCAGAAGAGTTCAGCAACATGCGGCTAACCTGAATATGAACGTCTCGTTGAACACGGGGTTCAGGTTCTTTCGATGCACTTTCGTTTGGTACTTCTTTTTCCGATCTGGTAAAAGGTACACTTTGACGTACGGATCGCTGCTACCTGTTACATCCTTCACTGGTAACTCTCGAGCTTCTAGAATCTAGGACAGATATTATATTTTTGCACTGCACCAATTGTATTTCCAGACTTTTTTTGCTTTGTCACGCGCATAACTGTTAGTAACGTGTTGAAAGAATACGTATTATTAATTTAACCATTACAATGCCGAACAATGATATATATATATATATATATATATATATATATATATATATATATATATATATAAATATTTATTCTCCCTTTACTTGTTAATACATTCTTATATATAAATATAAATATTTATATATAATAAATTATTATATATTATATATATTTATATTTTATTACATATAAATATTTATATATAATAAATTATTTGTTAATACATTCTTATATATAAATATAAATATAAATATTTATATATAATAAATATAATAAATATTTATTCTCCCTTTATTTGTTAATACATTCTATATGTAAATATTTATTCTCCCTTTATTTGTTAATACATTCGTTTTTGAACTTTTTACAGAATTTTTATATCTTTTCTCAAGCTTTACAAAACTACATCAACTTGGCTCGATCTTTTTCGATCGACACTGAGAAAATACAGGTGTGTGCAAATATTTTGTCGTTTTTCGCGGGTGTAATGCGACTCTGATTTTTGCCGATCGCAAACATTCAATTTGGAACGTAAAATTTAATTTTCAAACGTAGAGACAAGTATCGAAGATAAGTTACGTATAGACAAATTTACGTGAGATTAATACTGAAAAATCGGCCATCCGTCTGGAATCGTGAAGCTGCTTCGTATGCAGAAAACTACGAAGCAGATCCGACCGAGGGGAAAGTTGTGTTGTGAGTATGGAAATGTTCATGATTGATGTCGGTCGTGCGTCGAATAAAAATTTCACTCAGTACATTTCCCGAAAATTATTAAACATTGTCAGAAAGAATTATTAAATATTGTTGAAACAAGTTCAGTAGGCAAATATAAATGTCTCGGTGATAAATGGAATATCATAACGCGATGTCCTGGTGTCCCAATTCCAATTTAGACTCCATTCAACGTGACGCCATTAAATCCGGAATATTATCATAATCACGGTGGATGGTAGAAAGAAAAAAAGAGAAGAAATTCAGGTCTCCGTGGGTTTCGTCGGCGTTCTCTTTATATTGCGCCGTCCTCGGCTAGATTTATGAATGAGCCCGATTACGTGGCGTGCATGCGTCCAGCCGCGTTTACATTTCTGTGCCACGGAACGTGGGTTTCGTCCTGTTTTGAACGAATTCAATCACTGAATGAATTCGTTCGGCCTTCGGCGTGCCTTCAATCCCATTCCGAGGCGGGAACGCGTCTACCACCCGTTGTGTGTTAGTCAATCGACGACTCAACGACAAGAGTTCACTCGCGACATTATCGTAGCATTATCACAAAGACACGTTTATCATCGTTATCCAATAGCTCGCGCTAAATACGGCGATCGTGCAATTAGCTCGTTCGTGCGTAATTGCCAGTTGTGTTTGCCTACGCGCGTAAAAGCATTACGAAAACGTTTGCCGTTCTGGCAGGCGATAGTTGGAATAGAAATGATTGAAAACAGTGTCCCGACAATGACGATCGTTCTATCTTTACCTTTTGTCACAATGCTGATGGCTTAACGGAGGATTACGGGGAATAATTTAACAATGCAACGTCACTGTCACACTTTCAGAGTTTCAAGCTTTTCAATAACAATGATGTTGTTATGCTTCTGGTTTTTAAGCACCCGGGGATTTACAGTGAAGAGCATGAACTGTGCCAGTGACAATGAGTATAATTTCCCAGTGACGAATAATTTCAACTGACGTAACTTCGTAAAGAAGGGTCGTATAACGATTCATTTGGCTTCATTTTGACACGTGAAGCTTTTACTTTGACAATCGTGGGTTTGTGCTTTTCGAAGATGATTTTATATCATGTAAACGAGTGAGAGAACACTTTCCTTCTGAAAATCGTTAAAATTCGAACGCGTTTGAAAACGTTAAGCAATTTTTTTCATTAATTCATCTTAAACATTGAAATTTTTGTCTGAAATTTGTAGGATTCATTTTTTTTTTTTTTTTTTACTATTTTATTAAACGACGAAATGTTGGAATTTTTTGAACTTTTGTTTCACACTATGGTTGGGAAAAAGATCGTACAACAAGTTTCAAGGGATCGTTGCAAAGAAGAAACTTCAATCTTCAAAATGATGACTGATCTGGTTGTGAAGAAAATTTTTTATTACTTAGAATTTTGACAATTCTTCGGAGCAAAGCATCCTCATTTTCTCATGTATTTAAAATCATTTTTGAAAAGAAAACGGACCTTTTCTTTTCATAAATTTGTATGAATTTGAATTATCGACAATATTTCATTGTCACTGGCACAATTATCCTTCTCACTATATAGTACTTGTTATAAAGATCAAGACAAAATTCAGTTTCTCGTTTCTCCACTTCCCTCCTCCTCTCTCTTTCTTTCCCAGTCTCTAGTAATTCAAGTTCAAGCTGCTTAACGACAACATCGTAATATCGCTAACCACTGATAATACAATCAACGAACAACCGATCAAGCCCCATAATCGATACATCCATCAGAGAATTCATCGCTCGAGAACCAGCTCTTGGATTACCACCGTCGTTTAACCATGAGTATTCAAAGTTAGGTTAGTAAATTGTATGCGGTTACGAATTATATCGCGCAGAGGGGTGATTACTCCTCGAAGCGTAAATCATTCATCGAACGAAGGACACGAGACGGTCTCGCGTGACGATGAACACACATTTCTGTATTAATTAATTTCGATTCGATCGGATTGCCTCGCCTCTCGATTTATCTAGAAAATTCTTTCGAGCGCGCGCGTAGCCTTTGATCGAGAGTGATGGCTGCTGCACGCGATCGGACGTATGTTAAATCGAGAATGATATGATTTTTCGAGGCAAACGATGAAAACTGGAGCGCGAATGTCGGCCATCCTTTCCATCCATGGGAAGAATTCTCTCTGTCTCTACGTTGACTTCGCGAGGTACGTGCGTCGCGTTGAGAAAAAGCTGCTTCGGTCAGCTTCTGCTCGATGTAAAGACTGTCGGGCAGCACGTGTCAGCGCTTTTGATACGTCGGTAATCGTGGCTCGTGATCGAGTCGTGGCACTTTCATTTTCACGCGATATTTCCCTCAAAAGGAATATTAATTTTCGAAGATTTTTACTTACTAGAGTTAGAGACCTCCCCTCTTTTTCTTTTTGTTTAAACTTTGGAAACCTCGATTGAGATTTGTTACATTTATATCTGTAGAACCAACTAAAGTAAGAATATAAATTTTGTATATTAAGATTACAGTCTTTAAGGAAACAGTAGACACAAGGATATTTAGTTTAGTAATTATTATGTCGACTTTTAGAGGCAAGAATAATTTGTATTTGATAAGTTCCTGAGTATCTGAATATCCCGATATCCGAACGTTCACCCTTTTTCTGTTGCAAATATGTATAGTTTATTATTAGCAGTACTTATATACGTTAATGTACCCTGTTCTTCGTCAGAGTGAGTAAACTTCAATCCCAATTTATTAGAATCAAACAGCGTTTCGTAATAAGTAATAAATTACTTATTATTACTTGCTAAGTAATGATAAAGTTCGACATACATAATAATGACAACTCAATTAACAATCGAGAAACTAACAGTCGAGTACGATACAATTAAGACCTCGAAAGTGGCGTAGCAGGAATACATGGTGTTGAAAAATCTGCAATTACAGATATTAAGGAACAGGGGTATGACACTGGAAATTTCTCTAGAGAGCAAAAAAATTTCAGTCGAAAACATACAAATGTAGACGTTGCTGTGTTTCAATTTCATGGATATCTGGGCCGACAATACGCGAGGAAGCTCTACTGTCAACTGCATATAATCCGAAATTTTGAAATAAGCAATGATTATTGAAATTCAAAGTCAAGTCACGAGTATCCGATAAGATATTTCTGGAGAGAAAAATAACGTTTGTAGAATGGAACTCGGTAGAGTTTTGACTGTAATGCTATTAAAGGAATAACAAGGTTACATAAAAAAATAAATTTTTGCACAATCCTATGCAATGAGTTGAAAAAATTGTGACTTGGCAGTCGAAAACTATTTAACAAAAATCAGTCGATTAATCATGATAAAATAATATAATAATAATAAAATTATAATTATACATAATAAAATAATTTAATAATAAAATAATATAATAATAATAAAATTATAATTATACATAATAAAATAATTTAATAATAAAATAATGTAATAATAATAAAATTATAATTATACGTAATAAAATAATTTAATAATAAAATAATATAATAATAATAAAATTATAATTATACATAATAAAATAACTTAATAATAAAATAATAATTATACATAATAAAATGATATACTCAAAATAAAATAAAATAAAATTTCACGTCAAAGAAGTGGTCGTTCCATTATCCGAATATCTTTGTCAGTTCTCTGCTGTATCACTAACAATAAATTAAAACAGATCTGACTAATGTCAGCTAGAAACGTATGAACGAATGAACGAAGAAGAGAAATTCCTCGGGATCGGGCTGTGATTAATGACCGCTACAAATATTAATTAATCACACGGAGGAGATACGTCGGTGATTGCGACCGCACTAATATTTCTCTTCACAAATGTGTACCAATTAATGCAGCCGATTGTGTACCGAGAGCCGGTAATACACTTCACTTCGTTCCGTGAGTTATAATCGAGAGAATGTTTCTAATCCTTTAGAGTAGATCTCACGCAGTACTGCGCGACGTGACAACTCCAGTTACTATCGCCATTATAACGCTCGCATAATGCATGCGAACGACTAACGGAATGTAACGAAGGTACATTTAGAAAATCGTGCAACTTACTTTAACCACAAGCCCCTCCATCTCCTTGTCGTAGCGCAGAGCGAAGTGCAGCTTGCCAGCGTACTCCATTTCCGTGGTGCTGGAACTCTCCGCGTCCTCCTCCTTCTTGTAAAGTTCCGGCTGCAAACGCGCGGAGACGCATCTTTGAAACTTTCAATAAACTGAATTCCCTAGTTTGTTTCATTGTCTAGACGCCGTCGGGCTGTGTCGAACTCTTTCGGCAAGTTGAATAGAAAAGTTTCAACTCTCTCGTTTCTTTCTCGTTATTTCTATGCAGTTGTACTCTCGTTAACATTGAACGTCGAGATTGTCGTGATTTTTTTTTTAAAAGAAATCAGAAAGAAAGCAATAATAAGCGTGAACTCTTTTGAAAGTTCGAAGCCGCGATTTTAAAAGATCATTTTTAGACTAGCGGCGAAGAAAGTGAAGACACTTTTCTTCTCAAAAAAAGAAAAAAAACATTGAACAATTTTTTTCACAGTTTAATTCGCAAGCAGAGTGCAAAGATTTTGCAGCGAATTCTCAAAACTGCCTGCACGCCAATTTATTGAACTTGAATATCAAGCGAAGACCATGAGAATATAATAGTTTCAAAAGTTTTCTGAAGTTTTCTGTTTAAAGCATAACATTTATTTAATAAAAATTTATTTAATAATTTATTTAATAAAATGGCGAGAAGAATTTTCGTTGAGACTTCAATCTTCGAATTCAGTCAGAAAAAGAATTTCTCAATGCTTGATTTTCATTTTACCTGATGATAACACTTTCGAGAAGAAAAATACCTTCATTTATCCACTCGCTGTGTAATGTAGAAACATTTTCGAATGAGAGTAACTATAGTAGTTTAAAAATGGATGCTTCAAGCTTTAAACTCCAAGGTTTATTGTCGAGTTTTTCTTTTTTACAAAATTATAGCAGTTTCAATGTTTAAATGTCTGATGTTTAAACATTAATGAGGTCGCGGTTTCGAAATCTTTTTTTAAACATTTGATATTGACATTTATCTGACGTTTGTGAAAATTGGGAAAAAGGGAGGATAGTTTCAAGAGTACCTTGATCAAACCAAGACTGGAATCGCTACGATTCTCCAGGCTACAGATGCTGAACTTAATCGGTAGATCGAGACGATGGGAGAGTTGCCTCTGGAAGCTCTGGTGTCTCATCGGCACAATGGGCAGAGTTGTCTGGCGCAATACCTATAAAAGAATCGTACGGCTCAATACGTTCATCGTGCTTCAATAATTCAAAGATTTATCTCGGAAGAGTTTATCCCTTTGCTCGATACTTAGTTGCCAACTTTCGTTCCCCGATGCTTCCATGGCACAAACAAACTACCCACTGGTTTCATAAATAATAGAACAAATAGAGTATTCTGAATATATAATTAAATATTCAATATTAAATGGTTCTAATTAAATAGCCTTTGAAATTTTATTTTCCTCGGGGAAACGAGGCTATCAGCAACGAAACCACCGGCGACCGCTGATAATAAAAACATTATCAGAGGAATTACCATACAAGGAACAGAAAGGAAAGTTTATGGCACTGTAAAGAACGTAAACTTTTGCTCGTGCATTTTTGTAAGAATCATTCAAATTAAAAACTAAACACGCTGTTCGGTCTTACCGAACACAATGAGAGTCAAAATGTGATGCGACAAATAAATTCATCGAGCCAGGGACAATAAACTTCTGTCTTGTAACTTTTTCTACGGCAGGGATCTCCCGTGACCGTATTTCATATTTCAAACTGACATTTCCGTATTGTAGTCATATTTGATATATAATTCTTAATTATAAAATCTTAATTCTCTTAATTCCAAGGCTCGATGAGTTTCTTTATCGCATCGGTCCCCACCATAAACAGGACACTAATAAACCGGCAGGACACGGAAGATAGAACCGTTAGTTCCAAGAAGCAATTGTCAAATTTACTTCTTGGAACTGATCCTGAAAATGTTTGGAAAAACCCACTTTTCCGATCACAGGATCGGAAAGGAAACAAAGAGGGCTCGGATATATAACAGTCTTATTCTCATTTTCAAATCAGCAAGAAAACCTCCCGCGTGTCTGCCGGTTCGCGTCCCTAAATCCAGTGCATTCCAGGGATTCAATTCACACTCTTTAATCAATATCACAAATCAAACTTTACTTTGAATTAGCTATTTCATTAACGTTGAAGGCAGCGAGCCACCGATCGGCTCGTACGTCAAAGAAAAGAAAATACGTAGAACTAGATCGGCACGCTACACACGCAACATTGCAACTACTCTGAGAAATTGTAAATTGTAAATTTTGATCACTTTGGTAGGTTCAAACAAACAGGAAAGGTTCTAGAAATATTTAAAAAAAAAAATTATCTACTAATTTTCTCCAACGTTGCTGTGGTCTCTAGTGTTTTTATGAGTGGTAGTTGAGATCAGGGAACGTTATCGAGTGAAAAATATCGTTGTTCAAAATCTTTCAAAATGCTGAACTTTTGAATGAAAGTTTTAACAAAATCGTACAGCAATTAAGCCAAATTCCTTTTCTATCTATTACCTAATTAACTATTATCTATTACTATTAATTAACTTCAACTTAAAATATAAATATTAGAAAATACATGGAGAGTTCTGAAACCATCGTATTTAAAATAAAATTATTCGTATACACATTTACAGTGACGAGCAAAACTGAACACACATATTTTTGAGTATTGACACAAATAATATTTTATCGAGTATTTCTATGTAGAATACAAAGAAAACAAAATATATAGTGTTTTTGCAGAATACTTTAACTTTCTTAAAAATATTATACAACTTTCACCATCACTATTCTGGCAAATGTAGACTGTTTTCATAGAGTCAGTTTTGCATCAGTTTATTATAAATGAAAAATTATCGATAATTTAAACTATTATAATTTCATAAAAAGATGTCACATAACGATCTACTTTATCTCATTTTAAAACGTGAAGCTTCTATTTTGACGGCGTTGAACTCCTCTTTTTAAAGATATTTTAATATCACGTAGCAAATGAAAAACTGTCATTTTCTTTAAAACAATTGTAAAAGTTCACACGTGTATAAAAAACAAAAAAAGAAAAAATTTTATTTCTGATTAAATCCTTTACTGTCGCCTTTACAACGACCTCTCAAAACTTATCATACGATTTTTTTTTCTCATTATTCTATTGAACTTTGAACATTACAGTCAAACGATAAAAATCCTAACATTTCGTCGTCTAATCTCAGTATTGAAAGTTCAATCAAATGGCAGAGACAAAATCGTGCAGCAAGTTTTAAGAGATTGTAAAAAGAAAATTTCAATTTTCAAGACCACGGTGTGTCAGGTTACGAGAAAAATTTTTTAATAACCTTCGCAGGTGTTTGAATTTATTCTTTTATTTTCCAACTCGTCGCACGACTTGAAAAGAATTTTCAGAAGGAAACAAACTTAGGACAATCAAAACAGAAGCTATACACTTTGGAACGAGATCAAGTGGATTGTCGCATAATTTTCTTTTACAAAGTAAAAACAGCTTAAACTATCGACGATTTTTCATCGTGTACCTACTGTATACGTGCGTGCAAAGGAGAGAAAGAAACAGCTGGTTTCTGTACGCACATTTATCGTTCGTACCTTTTTGCTGTCCTTTTGCTCTTGGACGTACTCGTGAGTGATTGGCTCTGATTGGAGATCCGGCAAGGAATGACTGATGCGTATAGCATTCTGCTGCGATAAGTCGCTCTCGGCGTCCTCTTCCTTCATGTGACGTCTCACCCTCATTAACCATCGCCAGGTAGAGGAGCATTGAAAGCTCACGGCGGCTAACAGCAATAGAGCCATCAGCGCTACTCCCGTTCCAACCAGCAGTTGATACGGGAACGTTTCCGTCCATTCTTCTGCGAGGAAATTTGCAGAACATTAACGCGAGGCATTTCCTTCTGAGGAGGAAAACTTACTCTCGACGAGATTCGTTATAAAAAAAAAAAAAAAGAAAAAGAAGAAGTCGTGCAATTAGAATACCATGATTCTTCGATCGGTGAACAAAGGAAATTCAGCATTAATTACACGGACGACAAACGGTTCGAGGTAATAGCTAAGTTTGTAGTTAATTAAGTTAGACTAGAGATGACCAAGGTAAGGTGTTCGACGGAGCTAAAAATTTTAATTAAGGGAAGAAACGTCCGCGTCAGAGGCACGAACAGAGGAACGAACGTGGAAATTGGGTGTGCCGGGTGTCGAATTGAGTAAGCTGTAACATTCGCGCTGATCGATGGACAAACATTGTTTAGATACCTAATTGAGTCACCCAAGATGAACTCGTCCTTTAATGAAATTGCGAGTTCCCGACTGCGTTTGAATAATCTCGTGTTGTTGACTGATTAAATAATAATAGTAGATAAGAAACATTTCCAGTCATTTTTTTCGCAAGAAAGAAACTTTTCAACAAGGTATTAATTTATATTGTTATATTATAATTATATTATAATTATATTATATTGTTATATTATAATTATATTATAATTATATTATAATTGTATTATAATTATATTATATTGTTATACTATAATTATATTATATTATATTAATTATATTATATTATAATTTAATTTATATTTTTAGCTTTAGGCAGAAAAAAAGCGCATGGCGTTTATTGTCCGTTGTCTTTTTAAGTAACAGGCAGAATGAGTCATTTGTGCTTGCGCAACGTCGTCCGACAGCTAAAAATCGTAAACGACTCGCGAAACGCCGCGCCTGCAGAGGACGACGCAAATGAAGAATAACGCTTCGTTTAAAAACGCACGCACAATGATTAATGCGATGCGCGGCCCACGAAAAACGGAGAGCCGCGCAAAAGACATGAATAATGATTCCTACTTTTTGAGAAACTCGTGTCGCTGCGTAAAATTGGTGACGCGAAAATTTACGTAATAGTTAAACAAACGCTGAGATTTGTTTTGGTAAATTATTTGGAAAATTGGAGGGAAGCGTGCGTTTTGAAAAATAAAACACAAAGTGACTTTCATTAACCACTTTGCGCTGGCAACTGATTGCGGACCATAACGAGTGACCAAAACCGTACACAATAATCCGTCGATTTCTTTTTGAACTCGTCGGTGTGATATCACTGGATAGAAACCATTGAGAAGTAATAAATTTATTATTTTGTTTTACTTAATAGTTAAAATTGAAAAAATATTACAATTTTGGTTAATATTCGGGCATTGCGCAGTGAAACTGTGACAATTTTGTAAAAAGAAATTGCATGATAATAAACTCGGGCTCGTTCCGAAGCTGGAAGTTTCTATCTTAAAAAATGCATCGTTCTAAAATATTTTTCAATACAAATTTAAAGATTAAAGCCACCCACTTAATAGCGAGCCCCGTACGATTTTTTCTTTATCCATTTATCGAACTTCAAATTCAATAAAAATAGGGAAAAAGAAACTCATACATCAAGTTTTTAGTCTAACATTGTGTAAAGAAAAAAATTTTTCAATGTCTTCACATACTATTACATATACAATTTACGGAATATTCTATCAAGTTTATCGTCACACGATTACTATAAAATTTAGTGTTTGAATAGTAACTTGAGCCGCTGTGCATGTTTCATTGGAAAAATATAACAGAATGTACGTGTGATGAAATATTTGCAATTAATTATTAATACATATTTCATTAGAAAAATATAACAGTTCGAACATACGTATATGTGATATAAAATAATTGAATCCAAGAACGACGAGCGTGAATTGGCGAGCGTACAGTTCTTCCATAACGATCACGAGTTGCTCATGCCTGCAGCAGACTCGTCTTCGCATAGACGAGCCTCGAGTGGAAGAGCGTTTTGTTCTGCCGCCTTTGTTAATCGTGTCTTCCACGCCCATAATGACAGGAACTCGTCGTAACTACCTGGATCGTGTAGTACACTGATACAACGACCGCTGCGAATAATGCAAATAAAGCGAGTTTCCAGCAGGTAGGATGCTTCATTAGGCGTTCGCGTGTCTGCATCGTTTTGGCAAACAATGATTTTCCCACTGCGCCCTCGGATGTCGACGCCTCTTCGGCACTTTTATCCACTCCTCTGAGAATTTGCATCCTCTTCTTCGCTTTTGAACAAATTACCAATTACTCAGATCCTCCGGGTGACTCATCGGTGTGTGTCTTCTATCGATCGTGGGTTCGTTGGATATTTCAAAAGAGACTTTCCCCTAGTAGGAAATTTAATTTTTTTATTCTTTCGTTTATTCTTGTTCTTCGATATAGTATTAGTGAAGCACAACATTGAAGAGTGCAAGCAAGAAGATGAAAGTATTGGTAACAGCTAAGAGATTTATTATTTTATTCCTTCCCTTTTTCTTATTCCTCAATAAGGCAATGCTGAATTACCAAGTGATTAGGTTAGCCTCGATTTTCTGCGGTTATTGAAGATAAAACTTGATATAGATTCATTAACTGAACATCATAAGCCGAACATTCCCACAACTTTACTTCGTATTATATTGTACTGGAAAGAGGATTGAAAATTGACAACATTTCAATTACGATCTTACTTTCAGTTGGGATATGTTTTCAATTGTAAATGTTTATTGTTTTATTTTTAAATAGAATTCTCGATTTTAACAATATTAATTAAGTACGTTAATGCGATTATAAATGTTTTAAATTGCGGTTATACAATTCACAGGTGATCGTTTTCAACGATGATCTGCTAAAGATAATTATTGTGGCCTTGAATTTCTCACTGAGGCTCCGCCTTAAGATATTTAAGGGCATATACAATAATTAACTCGAATAATATATAATTTGTTCATATGAATTAATTTGAATTAACATTTATTATTTAGTAATTAACTTCGTTATAAAATATATGCTCTTGAAATATATTTAGGATCCTCAAGCTGCTCAGGACACCTACATCAATTAATTTAAATAATATTTACTTAACTTTCACTGTTTTAGTAATTAATCTCATTGTAAAACATATGATTTAATGTGACACTATTATTAATACACGTGTGTTGTTGCGTAAGATATTATTTGTCCGCTTCCATTTTCCTTTCTAATTTTCATCTTCGATCGTTCCAGTGAACTGTCACTATTCGGATTAATAATCACGGACTCGTCAATGATTAATTCCGAGAATTATTAATTCACGCGAATTCCTGCGCAAATAGTTCCTCCGCCTTAATCCATTTACCTAGAATTCATCCAGCGAGATTTGCTGGAATTGTGCATCGCCATTGCACATCCATTGTCGCGTTGTTCGCAGTAGATTTCGCTTAGATCGATTCTCAGCTTAGAACAACTAGTTCTGTTTATCTAGTGTCAGTTTAATTAGTGGCAGGCGGGAAACAAATGAATTGTTGAATTAATTTCAAATTTTTCTGCCAATTCGTTTTCAACCAGCAAAACTGGACGCACATAACGTTAAGGGAACGAAACAAGGAAAATGCTTTGAAAAATTGCAAGAAGATAAAAATACGCTTCACCCGACTGAAACAATCGAACCAAGCTCGATATTTCAAGCTCGCCCGTTTGTCTATTTGTCCTCCGGATCGTTCGTTCTAATTAGATAAGCCATCTTCGTTATCACAGGAGTATCAATTGGCAAAGTTGATCGATATAGAGGCTGTTGGTCAGCTGTGAAAAGTCGAGGTCACTCCCTGGTGATAATTTCTTCCGTTAATTATTAATTTTCTCGTGAAATTTCGCGCGATTTGTAATTTTTTTTCTATTATTTTGAAAATTTTTCTAAATTTGTTTACATCGTCGTAGATTGTTTAAACTTTTTTTACAATTCGTAGACTATACGAGCGTATAACGATAACAAAAATATATTTGTCATTGGTAAATCGCATATACAGTCGATATTTAACTTTCGAATTTATACATGCAATTCTGTATTACATTGTCTAAAGTGCATAGAACAATTTATAATATAGACAGCAATTATTTTTTCAAATATTTTTTACTCAACTCACTCGTTAAAACATTAAACTCATCTTCGATCACACTCATCTGCAGTTATAATTAGAATTAACGCGTAATTACGATATAATCACATTTTCTATAATTCCAAAGTCATGTGCGTATCTCGCATCGTGTAACGTAATCTTCTTTCAACATACACTGTAATTAGAACGAAATTGTTTTCACTTATCGTTCTGTTGAGATTTAATAAACCACTCGAAATAATTGGATCTCGCCGTGAGAGACACACTGAGCAAATAACAGAGACAAACGAAATACATTTCAGATACAGAGTTAAGTAGCACGTAACATTTCCAGCGTACGTAAAACGTAGACTGCCCTATTAAATAAAGAATCCTTTTAATTGCGCAGCTCGATACGTCCAGAAATAACTCGATCTAATATTATTGCGAGTAACGATTTACGTGCAATTGCTTTGCCCCGTATATTTATAATGACTGTAAATTTACGTGTCACTGAATGTGCAAATATCAGAGATTTGCAATCGTCTCTTTTATAGCTGGTCGCAGGTGGTCGTAAATAACAAGGACGTTTCTCTAAGAGCAAGAATATCTCGTGACAAGCCGACGGGGAATGGAGTTTCGTTTTTCTTTCAAAATTCCTAAGGGAACTTTCTTCAGAGAACAATCTACAATTTGAAACTGCACTTGAAATTGGAAGAAGAAATAAAATTACACATAGCGACCAAAGGTTGAAATTTTTGTCTATAAAATAATTTTTAAATAGATCGAATTATTGTTTGTAATAAAATCTAGCGCTGACAAAGAACGACAATCAGTTCTTGAATTCTTCCGACTTCTTTTGCTTTTCCAGTAGATACAATGATAATTGCAAACAGTATCATAGTCTCTGAAATGTCGACGATATTGTTTACTTGAATCTCTAGAACTTCGAGAGC